GTTGCCCAGATTTTGGCCTTCACGCTCGAGCGCGGATTTTGACGCTCGAGCGGGTCCTTCGTTGTTGTCTGTCCGCTCGAGCGGGATTTCCGACGCTCGAGCATAGTTTTCCATCTTCCAGTATCTCCTCTGCAGTGTTGTGCGCTCGAGCGGGAGTTTTGACGCTCGAGCGGGATGTTGTGTGTGACGCTTGAGCGGGGAGGTTTGACGCTCGAGCGGAGACCTGGTTCTGTAAAAGTTCTGGAAGTGTGTATCCGCCGCTCGAGCGGGATTATTGACGCTCAAGCGGGAGTCTGTGAGTGACGCTCGAGCGGGGAGTTGGACGCTCGAGCGGGGCGACTTTTATATAAATCCGAGATCCGACTTTTGGATCACTTTTTCAACCCCTTTTCTCTCTCTTACTTTTCAAAACCTCCATTGTTGAGCCTCTCTCTCTAGAACCTTGCCTTCTCTCTATGTATTGATCTAGTTAGAGTTGTTTCCTCACCTTTGGTCTTTACAAAAGTTGTGTTGATCATCGAGGGCTACGTTTTGATCCGAAAATATCGAGTTTTGGAGCACGTTGAGTTTCTTCATCTTCACCCCTTGAACTCCGAATTTGAGGTAGGGATATCCTACTCCTCTTTATGAGTTTTGTCTTTAAATTTTGGCATTTCGATATGTTGGGAGTTGTTGGGTAATTTTGAGAAAGTTCGGGCCTTTGTGTAATTTTACAAAAGTTGGGGTTTTAATCATATAAAACCTAAATGCATGTTTAGCATGGAAAAGTGGAATTAATGTTAAAACATTAATGAAAATGGAACCTAAGGGTTGTGATGTTAATTATAGAATATGCCCTAATTACATTGGTTAATTAATTGGTATAATTAATTGTTAGAAATGAGGAATTGAATTGAGAATGTTGAAATCGGGAATGTATGGGACTAAAGAATGTGGTTGGATCATTTATTGCTCACCTAATTGAAATGTCGATTTAATATCCATTTTGTGCATTTATTTTCTATTTAGAAATAACTGTTTTGGGCTATCGGTGGAGGATAGTCTTGATTGTTGTAGACAATGCATGATGATTAGGCAAACTAAAACCAATCGAGTGAATGTGTCATAGAGTATGACGGTGAATTGAATACATTAATTCTATGTATTGATTGATTGTGTATAGAACCCTTGTGTTTATATGCATTGTGTGTAGAGGAGGAGATGGGGGATGTACTCCGCGGTTTAGGGGAAGATGGGGGATGTACCTCTAAACCGAATAGGATTGGGAGGAGATGGCGGATGAACTCCGTAGACACAGCTCATATGCTTGTCTAGAGAAGTGAAGATACAGCTCATAGGCTTATCTTTGAGAAGTGTAGATACAGCTCATATGCTTGTCTAGTGAAGTGCAGATACAGCTCATATGCTTGTCTAGTGAAGTGCAGATACAGCTCATATGCTTGTCTAGTGAAGTGCAGATACAGCTCATATGCTTGTCTAGTGAAGTGCAGATACAGCTCATATGCTTGTCTAGTGAAGTGCAGATACAGCTCATATGCTTGTCTAGTGAAGTGCAGATACAGCTCATATGCTTGTCTAGTGAAGTGTAGATACAGCTCATATGCTTGTCTAGTGAAGTGTAGATACAGCTCATATGCTTGTCTAGTGAAGTGTAGATACAGCTCATATGCTTGTCTAGTGAAGTGTAGATACAACTAATATTGTATATTCAAGCCAAGGGCTTAATGTGTAAATGAGTTAGTACTCTTTTGTTGTAACCAAGTGTTAGCTTGGAAAGCTGTAAGCCTTTAGCGCATTTGCTTTTGTCGTTAACATGTAATATTTTTTGTAATGAAACTCTGATGAATAGAAGAATGTGGAGCTTTTATATGTATCAATGTATGTCTATATTGATGGGTTTAATATTATTATTTTGAGGGCGTTACACATCTGTTGTTTGATATAGTAAATTATCTTGAGGGGCTAATCTCTTTTGCCCTAGAAAGTCTCTTAATTTCCAATCTAGTGTTGCATTATCTTTAGAATTAAATTTTTTAGCTGGTAGTGCCTTTATTCCTTTTGCGCCTAATAACTTAACTATCTGATCAATTGTAAGTCTATAGTGGGTATTACTTTCTGAAACTGCTAAGCCTAAAAATCCTGTGCAAACTAATAAATTCTTTTCTCTCTTTTTCATATTATATCCTCTACTCTTTATTCCTATTTGAAGTATTATTTTTTCTAAAGAAGCTAAACGATTTTCTAAGCTATGTAGTTGTTCTGATAAATATTCAATTTTTTCACACAATCTGATAAAATTTCTATATTATTTTGTCTTACTGATATTTTATCTGACTGATTTATTCCTTGATAGCTACTGATTCCTTCTAGGTTATTATGAAAATCTTCTGCTTGTTTTAAAATAATCTAGTAGTCTCTATTAGCTTTCTTATCACTACTCATAAACTAAGATCTTACAAGTTGCTCTAAAATTTCTAATTTCTGTTTTAGATTATGTTGAATTTGGTTGATTTGTTCTATTTGTTTAGCTATTTGATTTATCTGACTATGGATTTTTTCAATTAATTGTTTAAATTCTAACTCTATTTGTTTTGAGCTGCTATTATTTGTAGCTGAAATTAGAGTTTCTATTTCTGATTTAGTGGGAAATTTTCCTAAATTTAAATCTATTCTTTTTTGTAAAATTGAACTACACTGGTCTTGGATATAATCTAATTTTTTATCTTGATCTTTAATTATGGTACGATTATTTCGAAGATGATCTATGGATGAAATAAAAATATTACTAATTTTATCTATGTCCTTTTTGATATTTTCTGCAAAGTTAATATGATAATCTATGATACTGTTTAGCTGAGAATTATGTTCACTATGAAGCTGATGTGTACAAGTATTTTTGAAATTACAACGAAATTTGTTTTTATCTATGCTGAGACGATGGTTATGGCTACTGAGCTCTAAATCTAGATACTCTACTTTTTTCATACACAAAATTAACTCCTACTTTAAAATTATTACAAGCTACTATAATATAAAATTTATAACTAAAATGTCCAAAAATAAAAACTACTCTATTACCATAAGCAAAATGCATAAACTAACTTAAACTGTCTTAAAACCGAACACTGCTCTAATACCAATTTTTTTGGGGATGGGAGTTAGTGGTCTACCACTATTTTGGAATTGGGCTGAGAATTATCTAATTAATTCTACAGTTATGCTAATAGGTCTTCAAGCTGTTGTATGGCTAATTTTAAGACTTCTTGTTTTACAGTTAGCTGTTTATTTATCTAAGAAATTTTTAAACTGTAATTTTCTAAAGATCTGCCAGAAGCTAATGATAAAAGAAACTGATATCTTGATATTTGATCTTCTAATTCTTGTATGAGTTCCGTACTAATTTTAATTTTAAACCTAAGTTTATCTTCTAACGGCATAAAGTTTTGATTTTTTAAATTTCTTTTATGGACAATATTTCCTTAATATTTTCTACTCAGGTTGCTCTCCTTTTATTCTAAAATTCTTTTCTTTGGCAAAAACTATTTTTTGGCAATGTTTGTTTTCATTACATGTACTCCCACCTTGAAGCTAAGCCTCGTTCAACATAGTATATTTTTATTTTCCATTTTTTACCTTTCCCTTTCTGCCTACAATTTGCCCTCCAACGCCTAACCACGGCTCACACGGGCTCTTCAACTAAGGTCACTCAGTAACAAAATGGCAAACAGCAGATACTATGAAGGTTCAAAGCATGTAATATTAATGAGCAAACAAGCATTCCATAAACTTAGTTTTTCCAAAAAGAAAATAAATTCTTAGAATAGAAGAGTTACCCTTTTGAAATATTTAAGGAAAAAGAGAAACTACTCACACTTCATATTAATAAGAAATATACTTACAAAAATTATATTACAAACTCTGAAACTCTGAAAAACTTAATACACTTAGAAGTTTTTGAGGACGGTTGGAAATTTTTACAACGCAGAGTGAAGGGTTGTTTTTCATTCTGCTTCTTCCGCTGGCATGAATGCCAATTTATACACATGGTTGATACATACAAGCCAAAAAGAAATATCTCTACGTCAAAAGTTTTAGATTCAAAAGTTCAAAGGCTACTAAGCCTAAGCCATAGACTTTTCTAGACTTTACATGATTTTCTATGGATTTTGACTACTCAAATCACTATTCTAGATATAGATAAAATTCTATCAATAAAAGATTAGGATAATGATATCGGGTACTACTTTGAGCCCCATTGCATATCATTCAATCCTCCTTTTTTGATAAAATTTTGACACTATAATTGATTACAAGACACGTATAAGAATTCTTACAGCTTTTCTTTAATGGAGCAGGGTGGAGGTCATTTGCTCTATTAAAGTAGTGAGTGATGGAAAATCTTTATTATCGACAAAAACAAATAATTACAGACATAAAAATCTACAGAATATTTTGGCGCGCATTTCTCTGATATCTGAAGGGAAGCCTTATCTTCTACGGATTTTGTCTTCTTTTGCTAAACTACCAATTATTGATGTTGACGCTTGGAGGCTGATTCTTCAAAACGGATTCTGTGTGGAAGATTTGCAAAATTTGAAGAGTCAAAAATCTTAGAATTATTATAATATTTTTAAAATATTATATGAGTCTTAATTTAGAGTGTCACCTATTTTTTTTTTTTAGTTAGTATATATATATATACTAAACGAAACTAATTTTAGGAAAATGTCTCGTAACTCAAATTTTGTGACTCAAAAGTGACTCAAATGGCCAAAACGACGTCGTTTTGGCCATTTTTATGTTATTCTGTACTCAAAACGACGTCGTTTTGGCCATTTTTATGTTATTCTGTACTCAAAACGACGTCATTTTAACAATTTAAATCACTTTTAAACTACAAAATTTGAGTTACGTAACATTCTCGCTAATTTTAATTGGTTGAATTGATCCAATCAATTCTGCAATTTTTTACACCCCGCATGCACGATTCCACTTGTAAAACAGTAGTGTCCACCTCCACCAACCACTGCTGCGTTCTCTCTCTCTCTTTTTCTGTCTTTTTTCCATTACATTTTCCTCCTCCCCAAACAACAGACGGACCCTCCCGCTTTGGGTTTCCCCATCCCGCTCTCACTTGTCCCATCATTCCTTTCTCCTCCAATTTTCTCTCCCTGGTAAGAAATTCAAATCCCACCTCCTCTTCTCTCTCAATTTCCCATCCTTCCCTTCAATTTTCTCAGTTCACTGCTCTGTAGTCTGTAACACAAACCAGGATTAGGGTTGTGTGTGTGTGTGTGTTTTTTTTTTTTTTTTTACTTGGAATGCAATTTGATTAGTTCTTGTTTTTTCTGTTTTAGATTTTTTTTGATGGTGAAATTGTAAAGCTAGAGCTTTTCTTGAAATGATTTACTCTGTTTCATTAGGGTGGTTGTTTTGTCTATATACCTAGAAACCAAACTTTGAGTAATTTAGAAGGGTAATTGAAATGTCGCCGGAAGGGGCGAATTTAGGTAGTGATGGAGCAGAATACTCGTTTGCCATGGAGTACCATGGCCCACCTATTACCCATGATATTCCCCGAGCTGTTCCTATCAAAATGGGGAGGATTCCGGTGGCTACGGTGGTTGCCCAAGTCCCGTTCTCCGACAAGTTGTCATTGTTGCCGGTTGTCCAGCCAATATCTGCGCCTGATATTACTAAAAAGTTTTCAAAAGAGTTAAAACTAAGTTCTGAATCCACTGTTTCTCCCACATCTGTGATAGCCTTTGAGCGGGGAAATAGTGAGGGTGATGAATCAAAAGAATTAGCTGTAGGATGTGAAACAATTGTTTCTCCAACTTCTGTGATTGCATTTGAGGAGGGAGTTGCAAATAATGGTGATTTTGCCATGTCAGGTGAATTAAGTAGCCCGGGTACTTTAGATTTCCAAAATAGGGATGACGGCTCTGGAGAGTTTTCTGATGTGATTCAAAGTTTGACCGGGCTAGCACTGGGCTCTTCATCTGATAGTCATGAACATTCACATGAGATATTAGGCACCGCAGGAAGCTCAGGGACATTGGAATTTTTGGATAGTTTTGATAAAACAAGGGAGTTATCGGGAAGCTCAACTTCACAGAGGGTTTCAAATGGTTGCAAGGATAGTTTAGATCTTAATGATTCCAACCAGCTGGATTGGGTTTCAAGCGAGTCAGTGTTGAGCTTGGATCATCCGTCTTCTCGGGTTTCTTCTCCTAGGATTGAGGATGGCAACAATGGACCTGCTTGTGATGTAAGACGGACTCCGGTTGTAACTTTTCGTGATGTTGAATCAGATGAGGGAGATTTGGGTGAGGAATCAAGTCGTTCTGAACCTGAAGTTTACAGAGCAAAAAGAGAACCTGAGGTTAAGGCAAGGAAGGGAGCATGCTATCGATGCTCGAAAGGAAACAAGTTCACTGAAAAGGAAGCCTGTATTGTTTGTGATGCTAAGTATTGTAGTAATTGTGTGCTCAGAGCAATGGGGTCTATGCCGGAAGGAAGAAAGTGTGTTACATGCATTGGATATCCTATTGATGAGTCAAAGAGAGGGACCTTGGGGAAATGTTCTCGAATGCTCAAGAGACTGCTCAATGACTTGGAAATTCGACAAATATTGCAGGCTGAAAAGTTTTGTGAAGTTAATCAATTGCCACCAGAGTATGTTTTTGTGAATGGTAAGCCTCTCTATCAAGAGGAGCTGGCTGTATTGCAGAGTTGCCCAAACCCACCAAAGAAGCTGAAACCAGGACATTATTGGTATGATAAAGTTTCTGGTCTTTGGGGAAAGGTGAATGCAATATCCTTGAGACATTTTATGTTGGTACTATTGTTAATTCATTTGTTGCATTGTCACGGAACTTGATGGTTCTGAACTTCCGCTAATTTTAACAGGAAGGACAGAAGCCTTGCAAAATTATTAGCGCCCATCTGAATGTTGGGGGTCCCATCAAGGCAGATGCAAGCAATGGAAACACACAAGTTTTTATAAATGGTCGGGAGATCACAAAAGTAGAGCTACGGATGTTACAGGTTCGTATGTCTAACTATGGATGAGATTGAAACTAATCCACATGCATATATCTAATATTAATGTGTTCAACATCGTAGCTGGCAGGGGTCCAATGTGCTGGAAACCCACACTTTTGGGTGAACGAGGATGGTTCATACCAGGAAGAGGGACAGAAAAATACAAGAGGGTATATCTGGGGTAAGGTGTGTAGCGATGTCCATATACTTCTGCATCTTTCTAACCACACCAAATAAATAAATAAAATAAAAGAGTACTGTTTTTTTTCGGTTAAACTTAGTTACCTTTCAGGCTGGTACAAAGCTGGTTTGTGCTGTACTATCCCTTCCTGTTCCTTCCAAGTCTGCAAATCCTTGTGGAGAACAAGTGAATAATCTGGTTAGCCGAGCTGTGCCTGACTACACTGAGCAGAGAACCCTTCAAAAACTTCTTTTAATTGGATACAGTGGGTCTGGGACGAGTACTATATTTAAGCAGGTACTTTCCTAATGTGGTTATAGAGGTTTCTTGCTTTCTCCATTTTGTTCCTTACTTATTTTGTTATTTATTTATACATAAAATAAAAGATATTTTAATTCTTAGTTTTTTAATTTATATTTCAATTATTTATAACTTCTTTCCAATAATGCATTTTTGTCCTAAATAATAAATTTGACAAATTAGTTAATTTAATTAGTAAAAACTCATTTATTAATGAATTCTACAATGACTCAACATACATGAATCACTTTGCATTTAACCATAACCACTTGTGCATAAATATTGTTATCGATATGAGTCATTTTTTTTCTCCTTTTTGATCAGTGATATGATAGTTGTCATCCTACAGGATCCGTGATTATACTTACTAATTTATTATCTTTGGACATTAATTACAAGTGGATGACAATGATGCTTGTTTATATATTTTATTATGGCCATACCGTTTAAAATTTGTTTCCATTTTCTTTAATTTTAATGAAGCCATATTGGCATTGGTTCTACACTGAATTGATATGATCTTTTAAATTATGTCTTTTATTGGTCCAACGCTTTGGACATCGCCACCGGGATTGTTGAGACCCCACGAGGACGGCTCTCTTTCACTGGGAATATGCGGTGTTCATTAGCAAGCATCTGGTGTTGGCAAAGCCCTCCAAAATTAGTGTATTTATTAATATAAATTCTCGTGATAGGCCAAGATCCTTTATAAAGATGTCCCTTTCTCGAAAGATGAACGTGAGAATATCAAATTACTGATCCAAAGCAATGTGTATGGCTACCTTGGTATACTCCTTGAGGGCCGTGAGCGTTTTGAGGATGAAAGTTTGAATGAAGCAAGGAAAAATCAGTTTTCTGATGAATCTGGTTCCTCAGGTAGCAATGTATTATTACATAGATATGGTTATTCTCTTATATTACTGACAATTTTTATGTCTTATCCGAATCTTATATGTCTCAAAATATTCTCTGGTTAACAACAGGGAATAGTGATGTGAATGATGGCAAAACTATGTATTCCATCTGCCCAAGTTTGAAAGCATTCTCTGATTGGTTTCTCAAAGTTATGGTATCGGGTAATTTGGAAGCAATTTTCCCAGCTGCTACTCGGGAATATGCACCATTAGTTCAGGAGTTGTGGAACAATTCAGCCATTCAGGCGACTTACAGCCGGAGAAGTGAGTTGGAATTGCTACCTAGTGTTGCTAGTTATTTCTTAAAGCGGGTAAGATCATGCTTCTTGTTCATGCGGTGGTTTGGTCAGTTGGATATTGAGGGTTCTAATTAAAAATCGCTTGAAACTATTGAGTTTTATGTGTTCAAAATGAAATCACATGGAATGAAGTGTAATTCAGATGCAACTATTAGAGAACATTGGTGCAATTTATTCTTATTTCAGGCTTTTGTTTTCCTAGAAAATATGCAGGCATGAAAATTGGCATTATTGATGGTTGTGTCATAATCCCTATCCTTTTCAGGCAGATGATATATTGAGACTAGACTATGAACCTTCAGATGTGGATATCATATTCGCTGAGGGTGTTACATCATCCAATGGGCTTGCTTGTTTGGATTTCTCATTTCCCCAGCCAGCACATGACATCGACATTGACACCGCTGATCAGCTTGATTCTCTGCTCAGGTTGGTACTTAAGTTTCATGCATCTTTTTTGTTTGTAAGACAGTTGCATTGCACTTTTGGCTACTCTTCATGGAATGTTTCACGGACTTTGGTGCATGTGTCAAATGGGGGTATGATTGTATGCTAAAAAGCATAGACACTTCTAAGAAGCTAATGCGTCCATGTTGGACCTGTGTCAGACATCGATAATTGTCGGTTCCAACACATGGAGTCATATTATTTTTAAATAAAAAAATAGGCCGGGACACACTTTGGACATGTGGGAGACACTTGTCAATCACTACACATTCAACGGTTATCCGTACAGAGGCTATAACTGACATGTTTTTAATTCAATGGTTATCTGTATGGAGGATATATAGGTTTTGGTATTTAAGCTTTATTTATTCTCAATATTGTTCTTCTTGTGTGGGAATTTGATGTCAGGTTTTGACAGGTGTGGTGTAATGTAATTACTTGTGACATAATTTTACCTTTGCTTTGGTTCCCAGATACCAACTAATTAGAGTGCAAGCCAGAGGGTTTGTGGAGAGCTGCAAGTGGTTAGAAATGTTTGAAGATGTTCAAATAGTCATTTTCTGTGTTGCCCTGAGTGACTATGACCAGTACACTATTGATGGAGATGGAACTCTGGTGAATAAGATGTTACTAACCAAGAAATTCTTCGAGACCATTGTTACTCATCCAACCTTCGATCAGATGGACTTCCTTCTGATACTCAACAAATTTGATCTGTTTGAAGAGAAGATGGAACGGGTTCCTCTGACACAATGTGACTGGTTTGATGATTTTGATCCAGTGATGAGCTGTCATAGCTCCACCATCAACAGCAGCAATAGTCCCTCATTCAGCCAGCTGGCTTTTCATTATATTGCAGTTAAGTTCAAGAGGCTTTATTCATCTCTCACTGATCGGAAGTTGTATGTTGCTTCGGTAAAGGGTTTGGATCCTGAAAGTGTTGATGAAACTGTTAAATATGCAAGTGAGATTCTGAAGTGGAATGAAGAGAGACCCAACTTCAGTTTGAGTGAGTACTCAATTTACAGCACCGAGGCAAGCTCTTTCTCTCATTGATGACAACATCATACAGACTTGTAAATGGACTAATCCTATTAACAATCATCATTGTTTGTGTACATAGAAGGGTGTGTAAATGAACTACAGAAGGGAGGTTTAATCGTGGGATAATGAGCTGCTTTGTTTTTTTTTTTGTGGGTATTTTCCTGTGTAAACAAGTCAATTCTTGCGATATTTGCTTTTCTAATGTAAAATCGTGGAACGAAGAGAGAAATATCCGTGTTTTGTGACGGTATAAATGCAACTGTATTAACTTTCCTCCAGTGTGCTTGAAATTTGTCAGTCATCTACAAAACTATAGCGAGCTTGCTCTTGCGTGCTCAATAAAATGTTTTTACAAGCCCAGCCTAACCCTAACATCTGTTCATTCAACAAGTTAAAATCTCGCTGTGCTATTTGCTTGCTATCTTCAATCAACTGAAACCAATGCCTCAAAACTGAATCTGAACTGTCAGGAGCTTCTAAAATGCGCTCCCACTTGCACACACTTGATAAAATAGCCTTGCGGATATGGCACGCCTACATGATAACATAAATACATCACATGAGATTAATCATAATTGGCATATACCCCCATTTGAAGTTAGCCCAAATATAGGAGCAAGAGGCAACATGTTTGTTTAATCTAGCAACATCTATTGGCTATTTCTTAATAAATGCACACTTGTGCAGTGCAGCGAATTAGCAAAACAGGATCTTCTACCTGCAACAAACCCGTGATAATATCTGCAGTGCCAGCCCCTTCCCGCACACAAACGAGAATGCCTTGCTGTAAATCATCAATTGAAAAGAAAAAAAAAAAGTTTAAAAGTAAGAGTCTGTGCAAATAACTATGGGAGAATCAAAAGCTTTTTTCATATACTCACTTGCCAAGTTTTTGCCACTCCACTGCAGAGGATCTCCAGACATATGAAATAGAAGTCTTCATCATTCAAAGATTGCATAGTCATCATTGACAACCTTGGTAATTGACTTTTGGGGTTTAAGCAACCAATTCTTATGGGCCACAATCCTCTGCCTAATCAAAATCTTACTAAATGCCGGTATCCAATTCTAAAGCACCCTATATAAAAGCAGTAAACATATTTATGGAAAAATTAAGGTGCAAGACCTCACCTTTGCTCCACATGAAATCAATACCTTCCTCTTCACTCACATCTGCAGGTGAAGGGACACATCCCAACTGAATCCACGTATTAATTATAATCTCAAGCCTATCCTGACCACAAGAAATGGATAATAAGATGCAATACTACAAAGCATTCTAAAGAGAATACAAACATTTCCTTCATCCCTGAAACAATGGAGCATTGTTGGAGAATATGTACTCCAACGGGGACTCATTTCCAGCAACATTGCACAAAGGAGTCGGGGAATTTGTTTCTGTGGCTGGTTTGAAGCAAGCAATGGCACAGTAAAAATGATGTGGTTTGTTGCAGGCAATGGCACAGTAATTATTGATTACCCATTGAAACAGGTTTTGAATTTTGATAGCAAGACAACCCAAAAAAAAGGGTTGATTAATGAAAAAAAAGAAAAAAAAGCAAGAGAATGTAATGTATAAACAAATTATCTAATGGAGGCATGATATCCAAACAATTTTAGGAATCTATCAATAAAACATTTTTCGAGTATTAGCTTGTCAGGCACAACTTACCTATGGGAGACTAAAGCAAAAAAGTTGAGATAGTACATAAGGGGAACTCACCAAATAGGGAGCGAAATTTACATTCTTTAAAAACACAAAGTAGTCTCAATATGTGAGCAACACCTTTATTGATGTTCTCATATACACACCCAATAATGTCAATAGAATGACTTAGTTTAGTACAAGCATAAAAGACCAACCTTAGTTAATGTCTGCAGATGAACATGCTTCAAACTTTGATAAATTCCAATGAGGTCGATTGCTGAGAAGATTGGGTACACGACAAAAGGCAAACTTGCTTGCAACCTTTCATATTAATGAAAAATCATCAGTTAGGGAGCCAAGTAAAGCATAAGTGCCATCATCACATCAGCAAATTGAATACATTACATCAGTTAAAAAGTCATAAATTTTTTATATCTTTCGATCACATATTCATGGGGAGCACAGGTAATATAAAATAGAAAATTTTAGCAAACTAATCAATATTAAACATATTGCAATATAATGTAAACAGGGGAAAAGAATCCCACAATGTCGAATTGCAGCAGTAAGATGTACAATATGGTCAACTTAGCTGTCACAAAAGGCTGGGACGATCATAGAATATCAATTTGATGAAGATTAACAATGGCACTATGGAACTAATTTCAAATCTGAAGATGAAAAGTAAAAACCTTAGATTGTTTCTGAACAAAATGTTCAAGGCTGCGGCAAGCATAAGACCAATGTTATCGAAGCACACTGTTTGAATCTGAAACCCAACCAAAGATCATTTCAGTTTATATAAATAAGATACTAAGCACAATACACTGAATATGATAGGAAAATCTATAACCTGTGCCTTCGCAGAAACTTCACCAAGATTATCTGCTACTGCAAAACTTCGATGAACAGCAGTCTACAAATCCAAATACGACAACATTTAGACTCCATGTAATAAGGTGAAAGCCAACTTTATGATTATCCAACGAATAAAATTCTGAATGTCAGACAGCTCAGAATTAGAATTTATTTAACAGGTAAATCAGCTGAAAACATTCATATCATTAAGTAGCAACTAAAAATCCTTGAGGAATGAAGCATTTGCATTGACACTGATGGGAAGGCAATAACTATCCTGTGAATTACATATATGACAGTCCAAGAAAACTGTTCAGAAGAAATAATTTAAAAGACTTGATAGAAAATGTTGCAGCGAACAAAAAAGTTGTCACACAAATTGATGAGGTTTTAGACTTACACCAGTTGCCAGGTAGCATGCTAGGCTTATTTGTTTAGCGATGTTTGCTATCGATGCGACAAGCAAGAAGTACTGGGGAAATGCAGGAGTCAGCAACTCAACCCCAATGCTCAGACTGAATAGCACAGATGTTGAAAACCTAACTCTCTACTAAGGAGAAAATAATAAATTAACAATTTATTAAAAATCTAGTTATCAAATTATAGGGAACATACTCTGCAATGTCTTGCTTTGTAATTCTTTTGCAGTTACCAATTTTGCCACTCCATAATATTGTATTTGAGATTTTCCAGTATTTCTTTTGGAATATAGAGAGTCATTTTTGTCCGAATCTAAGTAATAAAGTGTGGTAATTGGTATATCATATAAAAGAATTTTTTTGTCCAAATTCAAAAATGAGCTGTGGCAATTAGTAACTGCAAGACATGCCCAAAGAAATGTATAAAATTGTAATTGCAGACGCAGAGTATATGTGACCCCTCATTGTGGTAGAAATGGAAGTCATACCTTCAAATTGGTGTCAAAAGAAGATGCTAGGCTGGCAGTGTAGATGCACCTACTGAGCCTTCCAAGCCCATCTTTCAAGACCCAATTGAGCGCAGCAGCTGATGGAAGTGAATGAGAGTATCCAATTCCAATTGCTCGAAACATTGCCTAAGAGTAAACCATTTGCATACAATATGTGATCACATATTCTAATTCATCAACAAGAGGGGGGGAAAAACACACAAAGAACATATCCTTAACAAATTACCCAATGAAAACATCTGCTTTCTGTTACCTGAAGCTGAACTAAACACTTGAACTAATCAAACCTTAAAATTACAAATGTAAATTCATAAATACAAGTGAAGCAATGCACAAATATTTCATTGGTTTGCCGACCAAAGAGATATGTTATATCGAACCATAGAAACCCCAATATGGAACCATCTATTTTGACAGAGGCTATCTACAGAATTCCAATAATCATCCAATGTTCCACAAAGTATGCATCATCCAAGACTAAAACAACAATGCAAAATTTCCTTCTACTTACATATATATATATATATATATATATATATATTTTACAGGAATGAACAGAAGTTACCTGGGTGGCAAGAACCTGAAGAGCAGAGCTGAAGACCCTGTGCAAGAACTTCCATTTGACATACTCCAAATAATTCCCACAAACTTCCCCGGGCAGAAAAAAATTCCTCAAACCCGAACTACATATTCTAAACAATCTTCGAAACCCATCTTCGAAATCCAACGACAAAGAAAAAGAATTTCCGTCTACAGAAACCAATTTTAATTCACTCCCATCCCACAGGTACCTAGAAACGCTGCCGGAACGTCGAATTACGACCGGAAGGCGTGCTGGCGAGGTGGGTTCATCCGATTTGTCAAGCTTTTCTTCTTCGAATGAGGTTTTCAAGGCGTTCGAAATAGTCAAGGGTTTGTGTATAATGGGTAGGGTTTGTGAGGGACTCAGAATGTGGGTTTTGTGTGGCTTCCATGGGACGTGGAAGATTGGTGGAGAATTGGAAGCAATGTATAAGATGGATTGCATGAGAATTGACAAAAACACAAACCTTTGAGATATATATATATATATATATATATGTATTTATATATCTATATGTCTGTGGGTATATTATATAGATGAATGAATTGAATTGAGAGAAATTTTGGAGTTGGGTGATTTGAAGCACAACAAAAGTTTGTTTTGAATTGCTTGATTTTTTAAAAAAATTTTGGCGGAATTTCGGTAGTTCTGAATACTAGGGTTTAAGGTTTTGTTGGTCGGACAAGAAGGTTGGTTCAGTTCCGGTTATAAAAAATATAAAAATAAAAAACAAAAAAATAAATAAATTACACTCCCCTCTCCTAAGGTTTCTAACAATTACAGGATCTCTCCTGTAATTTTAAGAATAAATTACAAATATATCTCTCGAGATTTGTTTAAAATACTGATTAACTCTTGTGGTTTAAAAAATTATAAATATTCTCTTATTAGAATTTTTTATTTAACAAAATTAATTGAAAAAATAAAATTCATAATTGTTATTCTATGCAATAATAAAATTACTTAAATTATTAATTGAAACATATTTTTAACATTATTAAAAAATGTTAATTGACGTAATGATTTATTAATAAAATGGGTAATTTGTTATAAAATTAGAAATCTCAATGGTGGAATATAATTTTCAAAATCACAGGGGCAATTCGTATTTTAATAAAATCTCAGGAGATGTATTTGTAATTTACCTTAGTTTTAATAATTACAAAATCCTCTCTTATTTTTTCTGACATTGTCGAGATTCCCTTCCCATTCATTTAAGCCAAACGGTGTTAACTTGGTTGTACAAATGACCATAATACCCTTTACACTTAATACTTTTTAATTACTATAATTTACCTATATATTAAATTATCATTTTATTTTTCACAATTTTTTTTAGATTTTAGATGTAATAAATAACAAATTATTTGAGTATTTTATTATTTTCAAATAATTTATTTTTTCAAGTAGAATTTATAAGAAATGACAAATTTAAATAGTTTATTATTCTCAAATAATTTTTTTTTATCTTTTATTCTCTATTATCTAATTTTAATTTATTGTAACATGATTAGATATTTTTTCACTTTTATATTTATTTTTAAAATTTTATTATTAAGGTGAGAAATATTGACTTATTTTTTTAATGATAATTAAAATTTGAGAATAATATAGGATTGTGAAACAAAGTACGAGTTGGATTTACATTTTTAAAACTCTTCCAAACAAAACATGGAATTAATTTTTAAAAGTCTCATCAACAAGTTCTTGCAGCTTTGTTTGAAAAAAGTAAGGGTAAATCAGTGGACGTGACGACCCTTCTTTGAATTGTGAAGTCTGATACGAACAAAAAGTGTTCAGAAAAGGAGCATAAGAAAGTCTATGTTCATAAATAAATACATATTAATCAAGTATACACGTGGACGATTGGGACAGGACTACTAGTTGATGAGAAATTGGGCAAATTACATATACACCCCTCTAGGTTTGACAAAATTACAAATACCCCCCTGAGGTTTGAGAAATTACGAATTCCCCCCTGAATGCTATATTTGCATAAGAAATTAGGGGGTAATTTGTTATGAAATATAAACCTCAGGGGGTAAATTGTTATGAAAATACAAACCTCAGGGGGCGGGATGTAATTTCCGAAACCTCAGAGGTATCTGAAATTTAACCAAACCTGGAGGGGTGTATATGTAATTTGCCCTAAAAAATATAAAAATAAAAAACAAAAAAAAAATTAAATTACACTCCCCTCTCCTAAGGTTTCTAACAATTACAGGATCTCTCCTGTAATTTTAAGAATAAATTACATATATATCCCTCGAGATTTGTTTAAAATACTGATTAACTCCTGTGGTTTAAAAAATTATAAATATTCTCTTATTAGAATTTTTTATTTAACAAAATTAATTGAAAAAATAAAATTCATAATTGTTATTCTATGCAATAATAAAATTACTTAAATTATTAATTGAAACATATTTTTAACATCATTAAAAAATGTTAATTGACGTAATGATTTATTAATAAAATGGGTAATTTGTTATAAAATTAGAAATCTCAATGGTGGAATATAATTTTCAAAATCATAGGGGCAATTCGTATTTTAATAAAATCTCAGGAGATGTATTTGTAATTTACCTTAGTTTTAATAATTACAAAAATCTCTCTTATTTTTTCTGACATTGTCGAGATTCCCTTCCCATTCATTTAAGCCAAACGGTGTTAACTTGGTTGTACAAATGACCATAATACCCTTTACACTTAATACTCTTTAATTACTATAATTTACCTATATATTAAATTATCATTTTATTTTTCACAATTTTTTTTAGATTTTAGATGTAATAAATAACAAATTATTTGAGTATTTTATTATTTTCAAATAATTTATTTTTTCAAGTAGAATTTATAAGAAATGACAAATTTAAATAGTTTATTATTCTCAAATAATTTTTTTTTATCTTTCATTCTCTATTATCTAATTTTAATTTATTGTAACGTGATTAGATATTTTTTCACTTTTATATTTATTTTTAAAATTTTATTATTAAGGTGATAAATATTGACTTATTTTTTTAATGATAATTAAAATTTGAGAATAATATAGGATTGTGAAAAGATAAAATGATAATTTTTTTATATATTTATGAGGTAACATTTGGTAATTTTTATAAGTCAAATTTTTTTATTATAAATATGAAGTGTTATTATGTTTATTTTTCTTTAAAAAAATTTAATACACAAATATGTTTACAAAAAAAAAAAATTCATGTTTCGTAAGTTGCTATGGTATTAGGTAATGCTAGCTAACATTGACGAAAGTGAAAAAAATTGAGAAAAAAACATAGAGAAGATAATAAATAATAATAATAATAATAATAAATTATATAGTGTTGTTATTTGCTATAGTGACACTATGAAAAAATGAATGAGAAAATAAATAGAAAGAAAAATGAAAGAAATAAAATAAAAAAAATGAAAAGAGCGGGATAATTTCTCCAAATATGTATTTTTCATACGGAAAAAAAAAATCAAATACCTATATGTATTTTTAAATTTGAATAATTATTTATAAAATTGGTGGTCTTTTTAAAAAATAAAACATCTTTTGTACTTTATTTCAGAATTTTCAAATAAATGATTGTATTTAATCTAATATAAGGTTTAATGGTGATCAATTTATTAGCTCTTTTTTTTTTTAGATAAGGTAATGTTTGGTTATCCTACTATATATATGCTTGGGTTATTGTACTATATATATGCTTGTCTTAACAATTTAGAATTTTTTAAAATATTATATAGAATTAACATTATTAAAATAATGCATGGATCTTTATTAATTTTTTGTAAAATCTTTAGGGAGGTGAGTAAAATTTGCTATTTGAATATATAAGGACAATTTTGAAATTTTATACCTACAACATATAACGTCAGTATGATATCATCATATTCTGTAAATAAATTAACAAAAGATTAATTGTGGGGGAATTTTAATAACAGTATCAAATATAAGAATAGTTTCTGTAACTATTAAAATTATATATAAGATCTCTATAATTGTCAAAAATATCAGAGAAGTGAGTAATTTACCTAAAAAAAACCAGAAAGGTTGGTGGCAAAAGGGCACACTACAACGCGGTTTACACGTTGCTTACGAAAACGAAGAGAAAAGCAAGAAGTATTTGACGTTTTGTGAAATAATTAACTTGTCTTCTTATTGTTGGAAATTTTATTGATGAATCTGTCTTTTCTTCTTTGAAATTTTGGGAAATAGATTCAAGAATATAAAATTTGGAAAACTTTTTTCACTTAATATTTAAAAACGTGGGATTTTTATTTTTTTTTTGGGTGGTAAAGGGTAAGCATTTCAAAAGAAAGAAAGAAAGAAAGAAAGAAAGAAACTGTACATGAATCAAGAGGTGAAGAAATGGTTGGGTTCAAGGAGTGGGTGTTTGGGTGAAAATAGAGTGAGAAACCAAAACTACCCAAATGTTACATTTCGTTTTTATCAAATTTTCAATTTAGTATAAACAAGAGATTCACTGAAGACTTCAAAAGGGATTTCATAAGAACATGTATAATCCCATATTTACGATAAATGAAAAGAAAGGATAGAAACTTCTATAATGAGGATTTTATATACTTGGCAATAAATGAAGCATTAGCAAAAATGCAGGACAACAAAATGCTTTCTAATTTAATGATCAGTAAACATCTATAATCAGGATGTTGACTATCACAACTTGCAGTAATTCGTATAAGAAATATCATGGGACATACATCAAATTGTGTAAAAAAAATGTCTAACAACACACATTCAACTGTTACATTATCACAAACATACAACAAACTCATCAATTACACAAATCCCACAAGAAATACCTCAAACAAATGCAAAGTGGAAAGAACAGAAATTTGTATAAAAAAAATATCATGGGACATGCATCAAATAGAGTAAGATGTCTAACAACAAACTGTTACATTATCACAAACATACAACAAACTGATCAATTACACAAATCCCACAAGAAATACCTCAAACAAATGCAAAGGGGAAAGAATGGAACCCCAAACATTCAATTCAAGTGAGATGCATAGGATCTCGGCTAACAGCTAGCCCCGGTGGGGCTGCCTTGGAGAGATTCATCTGGCACTAGTTAGTGCACAACACACAAAATGCATACATGGGCCTGTAAAATTCTTTGGTTCTTGATCTATACCTTCCACTACTCCAAAATGTCATACAAAATCCTTGTAACCTGGTTGTGACATTGCAGAAATGTGTTTAGGAACACTAACATAAGGGAAATTCAACAAAATCAATAGCAGATAGAGAGAGAGAACCTAAGCACCTGATTCTATACCATCACCACTGCTTCTGAGGCCTCTGGAATTCTTCATTTCTTCCTCTATAGCTTTGACTACTTCGAAGAAATGACGCCGGGATGTTGGCAGCCTCGATAATGTCAAACAAAATCCTTGTAACCTGGTTGTCACATTGCAAAGATGAGTTTAGGAGCACTGCAGTATAAGGTAATTCAAATACGGTTGTAAACGAGCTAAGTCAAGCTTAGTAGTAAGTTGTTCAAGCTTGGCTTGAAAACTTAACGAGTTTTAAAACACATTCAAGTTTGGCTTATATACATAACAAGTCAATCTTAAACAAGGTTTTCACAAGTCGAACAGGAGTTGAGCTCGAGTAGCTTTTTTTGTAGTACATATAGAATTATTGAGCTGAGAAATAGAGAAATGATAGGAGAAAGAGAGACTTCAGCAGTGTGATTCTGGCAAAAATAGTGGCAGCGTAACCCAAACAAAATTAAGTAATGATCTAAACAGAATACATGTCAGAGAACAAGGTTGAAAAATGCAATCAAAGTACCTTCTACCTATACCCTCCAACTGAGCCCTTCTTATCTCATCCTGAGGAGGTACACCACCGTTCTGCCATGACTCGATTCTTGATGTATCACCACTATAGAGGCAGTATTTATAAAAATACAACTCCTCCCTTTCCTCTAAATTAAGACTCCTGATCTGCTCCTTCATGATAGACATGGGCTCATAAAGCCAGTCAAAAACCCTTCCCTCTGGTCTATTTACACTGGTAATCTCAATATTATCACCTGGTAAGACACGAAAAATTGATTATCATTTTCCATGGAAGCACTAGAGTTTTCCTTATGTACAATTGTATATAGCAAGCATGTTTCTTATCAGTCCAAACCCAATAATTGATAGAACATTGCTATTTTCAGTTGCAACATAAAAATAGTAAAACAGACAAATTGCTTTAAAGAAAACTTTCTTGTGAGAAACATTGCAAAGAAAAAGAAGGGATTATGTAAAGAAAATATGAAATATAGAACTGAAAAGAGTTTCTGTTTCCAAGAGTTATACCATCAACCAATTGGATTTAAAAGAAATGGCCAATGATTCCAGTTGGTCACAAAAGCATACTAGCCGATCATAAACAATCAAGCATATCAGTGAATAATTCTTACGCAAGAGAAACCCAGGGGAACCATTCTTGATAGAACAGAAAAAGCATTCAAGAAATGCATATGCAGGAATTCCAATGTTAACAATCTTGTTCTTTGACTCTTTCCACGCATCCAGATCCGCAATTCCAATGGCTCCATCTCTGAGAAGCTCTTTCCCAATTTCTTCGCATGCTTTAATGAAACCATCCCATATCTAACATAAGCATAAAGACCAAACTTAAGCATTTACACAAAATAAATATTTCAAATGACCAAAGTTTTTCAGATCTCAAGCATTACAGTTCAAGGCAGTCACTCAGCATTAGCAAAGCATTACACTTTTGGAGGATACAGCATAGTGGGGGGCTTGACCATGAATCACATGAAAAAGGAGCTCACTCCTCAAAAAGTCACTCTCTTCCCATGGTTACTAATATGAACAAGGATGGATCTAAGCGGGTGCGGGTGCGGGTGCGGGTGCGGGTGCGGGTTGGGGCAACTGCACCCCCACCAAGGTTTTGAAAAGCGGTTGCGGTCGCCGTAATGGTGGCGGTGATGCGATTGCGGTTGCGGGGTGTAAAGGCCGTAGTGTAACAGTTGCGGTAACCGGAACCGTGAATTTTTTTATTTTTCGCACAATTTGAAAAAACTAACCGATACGCATATTTTTTTTCCATGATCATATTTATTGGGTTAAAAATAAATATTGATCAATTTTTATAAATTTTTAAGTATGATCCAATATATTTGATATTTTTAAATCACTATAAATTGAGTTTTTTACATTTTATTTTAATAATTAATAGCTTTATATTATACAAACAATCAATCACTAACTATTATATATAAGATAAACAATGACAAAAGTAAGAGAATAAATAAGAGCCTAAATATATATATATAAATACATACATATTTTAACCAAGCCAAATGGATAATGACCACACTTATTATTATTATTATTTTCAAACAATATATAGATAGACACACACAAACAAAATGGTTTAGTGATAGCAGCTGAATAGAATAGCATAGGTTTTACAGCTTCAACAAATCAATAACATGTTTTTCATCTTCCCTCTTCTCTCTCTCTATCTCTTGCTCCTCCATTTTCTCTCTTTATCTTCCCTCTTCTCTCTACCCCTCTTCCTCCATTTTTAGTTTTTTTTTGTGTGTTTTTTTTTTTCAAAAGAAACTGTTTGGAACCGTTACATAACAGTGCGTAACAGGTCATTACGGCACCGTTACGACCGCTACGGAAGTCGTTACGGCTGACACACCTGTAAAGCTCAATCACACTGCAAATGCGGCCGTAACGGGTGGCGGTAACCGCCAAAGCCGTTACGCAACGGCGTTACGCAACGGTTGCGGCCGCTTTTTAAAACCTTAACCCCCACAAATTTGAAAAATATCTTATATTATACTAAAAAATTTAAATAATTAAAAATTATAAGGATTTGCACTCCCAAACATACTTTCGCACCCTATAGTGTAATCCTAGATCCATCCCTGACTATGAGTTTTTCTATATCCAAGCAATAGCCAGATTCTTCTTCTTCTTTTTCTTTTTTCCTTTTTTTTTTTTTTTTGTTTAAATTTTAATTTCCTTTTTGGAATGCCATCATGGAAATGATTGGACAATCAGCTATTTTGCTTACTTTGTATAGTGGAAGACCGAAGACAGAAACACAAATCAGAGAAAAACTCGGTACAAAAACAAGAAAGAAATCTACATTTAAATAAATCTTTCTTGAATTCGCATGATATTGAAAGGAATTTTTCACCATTAATGCTCAGCTCATGGAGCGGCATACTGAAAAGAAAAGCTGCTTCGTTCTTTTGAAGGTAAGAATAGATTAGGAACTGAATTCAATTAAGTGACCATTAGTAATTTCCCACATAAATGACAGAATATATTTTGTTAATGCATGTGACATATTTGTACAATTGTATTGGTGGAAGATTTGTTTGGGGTAGTTCAGGTTATATTGATCTTACCACTACAGCCTGCAATGTCTTCATTCTCACATTAGGTGGCCCTATCAAAGGTTCCTCAGAATGAATAACCTCATGCTGTTCACGCAGACTGTTTACAGGAAGTAATGAAGAACTGGAACCATGCTCACGATATGAAGGTCTGGCTGACAACATAAACAGAGGCTATCACAAAATTCACTGAATCTCTATGCAATTTTAACAAGCAAAGCACTAGTGCTGGTGAACAGACAGATGTGCATGTGCAAGGTTCATGCATGAGAACAACACTTATTGTAAGGTAATGAGATGACAAAACATGTATCAAAAATGGAAATCAATGCGTAACCTTGATATTACAGGACTTGCATACCTTGGAAAGCAGGACCCTTCACGCAGGTATAGTAAATCATTGGTGTACTCGTCAAATACGGATGCAGCAGCAACTACATAGAGTAATCCTCTCCTCGTAGAACTTTCCTGAGATGCATGAACATAGGAAAAACTTATAAGCACAATTTTTTTGATGACCAAGAACTCAGCCTGGGCAGAATCCTTTGGACCCATCCCAGGCGTGTAAACTTGAGGTTCAGAGGCCACCCCCTTATAAGCACATTTTACATGTAATATTCATGTGTTCATGGAGACAAGTAAAATAAATAAGATCAGACAAACGAAGAAAAACTATAAAAAAATTGGTTAAAAAAAAGGAGAGAGAGAGAGAGAGAGAGTAGCCAGCTATAAATTGTACCTGGTATGCAACAACAGCAGCATAGCATCCAAAACCGAAGCTTGAAATTATACCAAGTATAGTAGCCAAAATAACTGCAATTGGCCACAACAAAATCCAAACCCCAGCAAAGGGAACACACATGGTTTCCAAAAATGGTCCTTCCCTCCCTATAAGATCCTGTATCAACCGGTACCAGCCTTTGAGCAGCAATATTGGAGCTTTATACACAGTTATTATACTGATAACAGGCACATTAACTAAAATCCCGAGAACAGCTGCCAAAATGCATCCAGGTATCTGGACGAGAACCTAAGAAGCATGGACACGGACACGTGACACGACACGGATACGACACAGACACGCTAATTTTCAAAAAATGCAGGACACGACACGCGGGGGACACGCATGAAATATATAATTTTATATATTTATTATATGTTATATATATGAATATATCATTCAAAGATAATAAAAATATTAAATATGACAATAATTCTTATGAATTTATATGATTTTTGTTTTATTATTGTATCTTAAGTTGTTTTGTTCAAACTTATAATTGGTTTCACATGTGTCTAATTGATAGACACGTGTGTTTAAGAGATACACATGTATTCTCCAAGTGTCCAAAGAGTGTCCGGGTCTTTAAAAAATAGGACACGTTTTAAAGAGTGTCGGACACGTGTCGGGAAAGTGTCCAAAGAGTGTCGGTATCCGACACGGATACGACACGGATACGTTACCTTCTTATAAGTGTCCGTGCTTCTTAGATAAGAACAGACAAACGAAGAAAAACTATAAAAAAAATTGGTTAAAAAAAAGGAGAGAGAGAGAGAGAGAGAGAGTAGCCAGCTATAAATTGTACCTGGTATGCAACAACAGCAGCATAACATCCAAAACCGAAGCTTGAAATTATACCAAGTATAGTAGCCAAAATAACTGCGATTGGCCACAACAAAATCCAAACCCCAGCAAAGGGAACACACATGGTTTCCAAAAATGGTCCTTCCCTCCCTATAAGATCCTGTATCAACCGGTACCAGCCTTTGAGCAGCAATATTGGAGCTTTATACACAGTTATTATACTGATAACAGGCACATTAACTAAAATCCCGAGAACAGCTGCCAAAATGCATCCAGGTATCTGGACGACCCTACAGAACAACCATGGATCTGGTTCAGAGGACAGATGTATTTACAATCAAAGCTTGTCACCAATTTTATAGAAAAATCTGAAAGAATCTTTTTAGTATTTGAAACAAAATGTGAAACTATGTTAAGAAAATACACTTGACAAGAAAGATGCAGTTAGATGTTGAAACATTGAGATGCACAGCCTACATCATCCATTGCCTTTATAACCATGCTTGAGAATGAGCAACACTGAATGTAGCAGAAATTTGGATGACTTCACAATTGTTTACTGCTTACTCAATAATGATTATTACTTATTTTTCTTGCATTACATTACAGAGAGCATACTTTTTTGACACGTGAAAAAGAACACAATTAGTTTACAATAATGCTACAATGACCACATACACATTAATATATCTTAAAATATTGATCATCTTATGTGTCATCATTGCATTAGTTTAAAAGGTCCCCACCACTCATCTCTGTTACCAATGCAATGGCAATACATCTGATGGTAAATACTTTATGGTTGGTAACAATGGTTAGACATAAGATGGTAAATACTTTATGGTACACAAATAAGGTCATTGTAGCATTATTGATTAGTTTATATTGATATGATATTTGCTCAAAGTTCCTCAAGTAAACTTGCATCAACACAGACATATATTTCTGCACATTGTAGAGTAGACTTTCAAAGTCTTCTAGACAAAATTCTGATTTATCTCACGCAAACTAGATTGCTAAAATTATTAAGTCTGTAATGTCCTGTCATGTGAATAATATATTTATTCTATTATTTAAATAAATGTTAAACGAGCTGAGCTAATGAGCCGAGCTTTAGTATGTTTGGGATTGTTTATTAAGATTTCAATGAGCTCGAGCTCGAATACTATAAAAATTTAACGAACCAAGTTCGAACAAGCTGTTACCAAATCGAGCTCGAGCTTGTTCATGAACGGCTCTATTCATTTGCAGCCCTACATGTGATTATATCATCAAGAGAGTGTGGCTCTCCTAGGCAACCACTCTGTAAATAGAGTTCACCTCTTTCATTGAGTGAAGCGTTTTCCCTCCATCAAGAATGAAGGGGGCATTCTGCCAAATTGAAGACAGAAAGAAGATAGAAACACCAAAGGTTGACACAGAGATTAGCTGGCATGGAGAGTCTACAAGACTATAACTTGAATGTAGCACTTGAGGGTTCTTTTTTGTAAAGTCAATAGCCTAAATCTCTTACTGTATTCTTCATTCCTAATAATGGATTGAATCTCTTGCTCTTAGTGGTTTTCTCCCTTTCCTTTGAAGGGTTTTCACATAAATCTTTGTGTCTCCTTTGTGTTTTTTCTTTCTCTACATTCTGAATATGGTGTGTCACCATAAAATACTTGTTTCTTTCATCACAACTATAAACACGTACACATATCAATCAGATATGGGAAGTGTCAGAGCATAAATTGATAAATTCCAACTGCAAAGAGTATTGCAATCAAAAGCAGATTACAATAACTTAAAAAACCAAGTAAGCACAGACTAATACTTGAGTTCAATAGGCTCCTCCTCCCCCTTTGATTTCAGCAGCTCATCCACAACAGAGAAGAACGAGTAGAAGGAAAAATCTTTATAATCGCTTACAATAGTGCATGCACCCCTGAGGCTGCTGCTAAGACCCTCCTGAGGTAGGATCAAACACATTAAATTCTCTCTATATGCATGCCATCTAATCAAACTTCTAACCGCATTGATATAAAACATAAACATGAAATTACCGTGAAGCATTTCTTTATTCTTATACGAATAGGAACACCTTCCTTGCTAATTGCCCTGAATGTCTCCATGAAAGGCCAACCAAAGCCAACTACTAGACCCATCGTTGTACTTCCAATAAGTCCTAGTCCGGTCCACAATCCTAATGGTATTGGGAAAATTAGAAGCAGGAGGCATTTCATGTATGGACCGAATTTCTTGGTTCTGTATCCGTCAACATTCACAGAAACATAACATAGTCAATTCCATATTTTCTATCATCATTTTAAAAATTCACAAGGAAACCCGAAAAATCAATAAATAAATAAATAATAATAATAATAAAGAAAGAAAGCTTGACCTTAGTATACAAAAAATACTCCAGAAAAAATGAAGGGGAAATAGACCAAAAATGACCAACCAATCCCCAAAGGCGACTATCAGAAATACAAAGGGAGTCATCAAAATACCTGCTTATATAGATCCATCGTTCATAATCCACAATTAGCCAACAAACACATATAAATGCACTTAAGTTATATATACAGGTTTATTTCACTTTTATCCCCAAAACTATTACCCATTTTTTATTGCATCCCTGAACTATTAATTTCATCTATTTAATCTCTAAAGTTCCTAATTTCAGATCAAGTAATTCAATTGGAGATAATTGTATAAATCAGACCATTGGAGGCTCATTTGATGGTCAAAAAGTTCATTACAAAATTTGAACAATTCAAGCATACGACCAAACACCCATCGAATTGGTTCTATTGTATGGGTTTGATTGTTCAAATTTTAAAATAATATTTTTTAGCAGTTACTGAATCGTCTCCAATTGGACGAATGAACTAAAATCAGAAGGAACTAAATGAAATTTATAAATTAAAAAAAAAAAAGGTGATAATTTAGAGATAAAAGTGAAATTAACATATATGTGAATGACAGTAGAGTAGAGAGAGAGAGAGAGCAAGACAAGCATACCCTTGTAGAATCCAATAATAAAAAGAATGATGAAGACAGGAAGGAAGAAGATGGAGTAACAGACGTAACCAAGGATCGTCTTTGGACCTTCCATTTCCGAATTGATTTCTCCTTCTTCTTCAACTGCACTTGATTTCAATGGCATATACATCATAACAAACACTTGGCTGGTTTCCCAATTCAATTTGGGAACTTCTCAGCTTATAAATTTTTTAAGATTAAGAACAACAATATACAAGAAATTGGAGACTTACAGGAATACCTTTATTTTTATTTATTTGTTGCTTTTAGTAAAGTGGCGAGACGTTAGATCCGAAATGAAACTACCATTTGGGCTTTTTTTCCCAAGAAAGTCGTTTGTCTGTATAGATTAGTAGTAGTAGTAGTAGTAATTACTCTGATTTGCTTTCTTATGATTCCAAGGCGTTGACCGTGTGAACTATGAATTATGAGTAATTATTCTGATCTACAAATTTTATTTGTTTCTTCGTCGAGAAGAGATTACAAGTTATCCAAGATTTGACACGCTGTCCTCGTGGACTGTTTAAAATTTTGATAAAAATAAACACAGTTTTGTTTTTCGATTTGGTTTTCGTTTTGTTTTTGTTTTGTTGTTTTTTTTTTTTTTGAAATATTTTTGAATTTTATTTCCACTCCTAAAAAAAGGAGAAATTATATTACTGCATATAAAAAAGTGGGTGTCTTTTATTTTTTTTTTAATTTTTTTCACTAGATTAGATTTTAAATTTATTTCAAAATAAAATTTCTTAATTAATGAATTTTATTTCTTTGTATTGTGAAATGAGAAAATGAGGTGAAATTAATCATGCATGCATAATATCAAGTCATGGAGTAACAAGTACTAGGGGTGCTGATTGTAGGCCTCTCTTCATTCACATGGATTCACAAACCAAACAACATGGACTTGTTCGAAGGGACGTGCAGAGAAATGGACTTGGATATACTGTCCCCCCATTTTCTTTTCAATTATTTTGTGCAGAGAAATGGACTTGGATATCCTGTCCCCCATTTTCTTTTCAATTATTTTGTTATAAAGTGTTCCCACACCATTGACTCATCTCGATCTTTAAGAATTTATTCAAGCGCGTCAAACTCCGTTTGTTTTGGGTGAAAGAGAGGGTATTGGAATTGCTAATACCAAGATATTAGTAATAGCCTTGTTTGTTTTGGAAGAAAGCCTTGGGACTATTAGTCCCTTGGTATTACTAATACCCTTGGAGAGGGGATTAGTAAGGAAGAAGTAGAGATGGTATTAGAAAAATAGTGAAGAGATTATAAATTTTTTTATTTTTTTTTATTTTTTATATATGAGAAATTTTTTTTAAAATATAATTTTTAATTTTTTATATTTTTTTATTTGTTTTATTATTTTATATAAAAATAATTTAATAATTCCTCATTACTAATCCCCTCACTAACAATCCCCTCACTAACAATCCCCTAACAATTCCCTTCATTCTATCTCTGAAAACAAATGGGACCTAAAAGCGTTTGTAAACCTTGACCACCGTAATTTTTTAGGTGACCTAACCGAAATTCCAGGGCCGGAATGAAATGCAAAATTCAATCCTGAATGCCAAGTTTTTTATTTTTTATTTTTTATTATAGATAATTTGGAGGATTCATGACATAATCGCAAAAAACTAAAGCGCCTAAACGTTCATCCAAGGTAGAGAGGACCACCGTGGCAACATTTTTTTGCTCTCCACCACGAGAACACTAGACCAGATTTCAACCACCACCTCTTGGATTCAACAAGTCAACCAAGCCTCACTTTTCAAATCAAAACCCAGTACAACTGATCAACAACAAGACCGCTCGAGTTATGGCAAAATATTATAAATCTACGCACACATCAAGCAAAATGAGTAAAATTCAACTACCAATTCCTAAGCTGGAGATTGTAAGTTCCACCCTTGTTCCTTTCATGCCTTCCTATCCCCATTTCTCCACTGCTTAGGTTAGATACATGTAACTGTTCCATAATGTGCCAAAAAAATTACCCATTCCTGAGGTTTTCCTCCCAGTGCCTCAAAGCTACACTCGCCTCTTTCTAGGGTACCTGTGGAGTTTCTGTGCCCTTCAACGTAGAATTTGCACCTGTATTTCTCTGCTTAGTCTTCTACCTCTGCGAAAAGCAAACTCAAATAAGCACTGGTCATTCAATCCAAGACTGTACTCCTTCCAAAAATCAGCCCACCCATTTGTGAAAGTAAGTCGGCCATCCAACCGAGAAGTAACTTTCACAGGCCACAACTTCCCATTCTGATCACGCAACACCATTTCTGGCTCCATTTTGATACCATTTTTAACCAACCACTGTCGAGGAAGGGTCTGCAAACATCAACGATACAATTAGAAAGCAAATAATGTTTGTAAGCACCACAAATTATATATATACCAAGACATAGACAAGAAACAGAGAAAATTGGCAAAAGTAAAAGAGTGCTTGATCAATGTAATTCAAAATTTTATAACATAGCAAAAACCACGGACTAGGCATTATAACTCATGTTAATGAAAGAAAACAGAAAATGGTGAATTTGAGAACTCCTTCAGGCGGATCTCTTATCTATGAACTTACAAGTAACACAAATAGATGCAAAATAGCAATTCCTCATGTCCTTTGTTTGTCATGGAGTGTTAGACAACCACTAATCAAGTTTTAATCTTGTCCTTGAGGCCTTATTTTCTATGGAAACCTACAGCTTTTCCATCTTTTCATACATTGGATCCAAGATTAAAGGAGTCACCCACACAACAAATCATTAACTTTGAATTTGGCTCATGGATTTGAAAAGGGCTGGGAAATGGGGAAAAAAAATTAAATTATATTTCAATTGCATTCCCCTCACTTTTTCCTCTTCCCTTTCCAAATCCTGTCCAAATCCATGATAGCCTAAAGACATCCAAGAAACTAAAAACTGGACAACAAACACCAAAAATCTTCAGTCTTTACTGTCACATCAATTCATCCAGTACAGAGGGCTCCAAACAATAGTAATACCAAGGGAGCCTCTGCTTGAAAGTAATAGCCATTACACATTCATACTCACTCACAAGAGTCCTGGTTCTTCCCAATAAATACTTCACAAGCCTCTCTTCTCCCAATTTCACACCCGAGAGTACTATAGAATGAGCAACTGCAACAATCTCTCTCTTCAACATTCAACACTCTGAATCCTAATATGTCTTCCTCTTCTTTTTTGTGTGGGATAAATTGTACAGCTTTGCCAATATCGTTACTTTTCCCTTTCCTATATTTCATGGTATGTATATTACACTCCAATTTCCAAACAAATCAAATGAAGGACATTTTCACTAAAGGATGATGCCTTGTTCATAGCTTCCAGAGCAATACGAGGAACACATGCTGGTAAAAAGTGAAAACCCAGACATTCTTATGCCATCTCCAAACAAAAACTTCCATATTCCCATGTCTTACACTTTCTCTTCATGGCCCTCTCACTTAAAGTCTAGTATCTACTAATTTTAATTAAATGAGGCATCAAGATATGTGAAGTGAGCGGACATTTAAAGCAGGGGCTAAAAGGTCCAACAACAAGGTGGAATTGCACTACCATTAGGAAAAAACTTTGAAATTTTCAAGATTAATTGTCAAAGCACAAAGTAAGTACATTTTTCTCATATAAGACCAACAGCTCACCAGACGGTAACGCGCTGATGGATACAAAGATGCAATGAAATGTGGATTTGTTGGTACAACAAACTCTGATGCATCAAATGCAGTGTGTTGCTCAATGATCTTTGAAGGAGTACTTTGTGATTTATGCCGGCTTACTTCTTCGGAACCAGTAACTGTACATTCAACATATAAAATGGAAGGAAAGAAAAAAAAAATGAAACTAATTAAAGAACAACTAACCTTCAGATTTTACAGATCTTTTCATGGCTGTAGGATGGACAGATGGAATAAAATGCAAGTTTGATGCATCAAATCCTCCATGTTGTTTAATTGTCTTTGAAGCAATTCTTTGTGATTTACGTCGGCCAACTTCATCACAACCTGCAACGGTACATTTAACATATAAAATTTGGGAAGGGGGAGGGGGATGTACAAAATGAAACAAATTAAAGAACAACTCACCTTCAGATTTTACAGATCTTTTCATGCCTATTTCTGAATACTTCAGTTTGCAATTTTGAATATTCTTAGAACGAATCTGCTCTTCTTCTGATTCTTGTTCAATCTTAACAGATATGGCAGTCTTCTCAACAGTTTCTTCATTCATGTGTTTGTTTGCTAGAGCTTCTTCCTTCATGCATCCATTCTTCCCAAATATTTTAACGTCAAATAACGAATTTCCTGTATATTTAAAAACTAAGAAGTTCCCAAACTCTAAAGAATGATCACTCGCAAATCTTTGCCATCCATTCTTGAAATATACACCATTTTCATCTTCTTCCACCTCCACGTGCCAAACATTTCCACCATGATCTTTAAGTTTGGCATTATTAGGTATGGTTCCATTGATTTTCTTGACAAAAGCAGGTGGTACACGCTGCAAAATAGAATATTTATCTTTATTCAAACCATACACGAGCAATGAGATTTCTAATGAAATCAAAGTTAGTAAACAATGCATAAATGAAGTAGAATTTTTGAAATTCTCTGCAATAATCCTAACTTGAAATAATCTTGCAAAACAAAATCACTAGATAGCTTAAGAGTGATTTAATCTTGCCCTAATTGTGTCTGTCTTAGGCGCCTAAATTAGCATTGCAAGATTATTGCAGAGAATTCCAACTCGTCTAATTCAAGAACATAACAGGTACAGGTGGTATTTAAATCAACCCAATGCAATGATACCGGGTTTAAGCGAATTCCATTGAATTGAACACAGATTAGACAAGAACCCAACCAACCCAGATACTTCAGAGTTATGCTAAGGAGCCCAAATAAACTCTAATTTTCTACCCAACCTCTCACATGGTGTAGCACATGTGAGAGGTTTGGTAGAGAATTTGGTAATTTATTTGAGATCCATAGCATTTTCCTTTTCTTCATTGAATTTTTTCCCAATAGATAGTACAAGGTAGTGCAAAGTGGAGTTATGAAAATTCACCCAAAAAAATGAATGACAAAGTTTAAAGCACAATGAGAGAGAGAGAGAGAGAGAGAGAGAATACCAGACATTGTGAGCTCTGATCAGGCAGATATATTTTAAAGAACTCATCAAAGAAAGAGACCTTTCGACTACTATGACGTTTCGTCATTTTTTTTTCTGCTCTTTCCTCTCCAAATAGCACAAACCCTAATGAGCAGAGAAAGGAACTAATCAAATCAAAATGAGAAAGAAAACAACTCAATTCGTTTTACAGCCCCAATGTTCAACAATTATCAAAAAGAGAACTGCGAAAATTTGAGTAATCAAAAAAAACCCTAACAATTTTGAGTAATCAATTCAGTTTGAGAAACGAATAGACATTGAATGACGCTCTATCCAACTTGGAGCATTGCGATTTTAATCCGATCGAGAGTGAATAAACGAGATGCGATGCGATGCAACGCGACTGTTGAGATCTCTTCAGATGCACTTTTGTAGTATTTTAGCACACACAAAGTGTCGATTCGTATTAATTTATATCGTTTTATTTGTTAATTGTAATTTAAATTTTAAAATTTATAAGTGATATTGGATATCATTACATTCCATTATACGCCAAGTTTGGGAAGACTAAATAAGTGCACTTTTTGTCTTTTTGGACTAAAAAATTGAGGTTGAAAATATGGATGTTTGGGTTAACTTTTCTTTTTGAGTAACTTTTTGACTTTTTGACTTTTTGGGAACATCCCAAACTTGGCCTTAATATATATATTTTTTAATATATAATAAAATATTAAAATAAAAATAAATGTGAGAGAGATTTAATATGTAAAATTTATTACAAATTAATAGTTAAATAAATGAAAAATATTATGTAAAATTAATTTGTATTATATATATGAAAAATATTATGTAATTTAGTGTTATATATTATACAAAAGTTTGATAATTAGTTAAAATATTTTTTAATTTGTCAATCCGTCCAAAATAGTTCAAATCGTAATTTGTCAATCCACTAATCCTCCATTCAATTTATAATTTTACTTTCAAACCATTCAAACCGTACCGCGTATACCCCTATGTGAGACATTAGAAAATTTTATAATACGGTAGTGCGTGTTTGATATGTTAATTATAATTTAATTATAATTCATGAGGTTAGTTGTGATTTATTAGGATTTTAATTATAATATTTTTTTTTTATGATTTAAAATATTTTAGATTATATGTTATTTGGGGTTTGGTTATGATTTATTACTTTTTATAATATAAAAATTATAATTAAAAATGATTTAATTATTACATTAGCGGTAATTAACTTTACAAATGTCATAATTTTGACTCGGGGCACATTCAATCTATAACTATTAATTGAGTTAGTTACACAAAAATCGTTACCCGTACTTATTAATGAATATTGTTTAATCATTTTTATTTAAGAATTTATACATATTGATCTTTTTAATTATAAAAAATCATATTTTTTGAAAAGTAAAAATAACATAATTTTATAATTAAATGAGTCAAAGTATACGAATTAATAAATAAATAACACAAGGTATTAGTGATTTCATTGTCCTCAAAAAAAAAATATAAGGTATTAACCCTTATTAATAAAAGCAGTTAGATTTTTTTATTTTTAGAGGGAACGGAAGCAGTTAGATTTGATGTGGCAAAAAACTACTCCACAGAAATTACAACATCATTCGATTGATATTATTGCAATTCGTGGAAATATAATTGGAATACATGGGTCAAATGGATTAAATTGAACTCAAAACTACTCAAGCATAGCCCAAGTGGTAGTCAGAATTGCCAAAGCCCAATTTGTCTAACCGAGAAATTTCACCCAAACCCAACTAAAGCCCAACAAATTTAACTAATTTAGAATCAAATTGTCCACAAAAAATTGAGTTGGGCAATTTTTTAGGCTATAAGTCTAGAAAGTTGATTAAATCTATAATCACTTTCTCACAACTCTACCAAACGAGACCAACTTTTTACAAACTTGTTCATAAATCCACAATCTTTAAAAAAACCATAGTAATAAAAAAATAAATTGTTCATAAACATTCCCACTTCAAACAACAAATATTGTTACATGGTATAAGATTAAATATTCCCAATTCAAACATCCCATAAAAAAAATCCAATAGCCAAAGTGGATTATATATTTGTCATATATATGAAACATAATAATATAACAACTCGTGTTAGAATTGCACCGGTCATTCCAAATCTTTACCCAAGGCCAATCAAATTTTTAATTTGAATTGAAAATTTTAACCCAAGCTCATTCTTATAAAAAAATTCAAGTTAGACTCGTGTTACTCGAGTTAGACTCGTTCAAGTTACACCCAAACTTAAATGCTTCTATTTATACCCATTAAATATCTCAACACACTCCTACTTGCAATGTAACATTTTATGAGTGTAAATAGAAGGGCTCTCACCATGAGAGATTCTAGCTACACACTTTCTTTCTTTTTAGATCCACCAATTAATAGAATTTAACCATTGCGCAAAATTATCATGTACAACAAAAACTCTCAAAAAAAAAAAAAATTACACCCCTCTCCCCCACCCTACCACCTACTGCCTTCATCACCCAACTCTAACTAACCTCTCCGCTGTCCTCAGGTTGCTCCAGTTAGCCCTTTCTCCTCCCTACCACGACACTGTAGCCTTGCCACATTTGAAACCCTAACACTTTAAAAACTTAGCCTATACATTCATGTATATATAAGGAAAAGAACAAAGAGATGAGTGAAAGGAGTCATCTGGAAAGCGATAAAAGGTACGAGAAATGGTGGGGCACTGGAAATGGTGGAAGGGCTACAGGGCAAGAGAGGTCGTCAAGTAGAAGAGGGTGGGTAGATTTAGTGAGGGGAAATGTTGATGGTGAAGGGTGTGGAAAGAAAAAAAGATGTGTATCTCGAAAAATTAATCATAGGGTGAGGACTGTTCAATGGGCATTCTGGGTGTTAGACAAACTTACTTTTCCTCTACCACCAGATCTCACCTCAAAAATTCTCAGCACTCCCTTTACTTGACTCAATCATAAACCTGATGAGTTCATCCCTCCAAAATTATTCAGAATAACCAACTCATGAATGATACTAGGAGGTTTAATACCCTAGAATTTCATACTCTTATTCTAACTTAATTTAATGCAGTTCCATTTCTACAATAAAGACAAGACACACAAGACCCCAACAAATAGCTCAAGCATATACAACAATCTCAGCAAACATAACAAATACCTCAAATAAATAAAGGGGGAAAACCGGAGGCGACCATCCTAGGTAGGATTCAATCTTGCTTTAATGCGTGAGATGCGAAGCCATGTGAGGCATGACACAATGCAAGTCTCTTCCCAGCTGCAAGCTTTGACTACTTATATTTAATCTATCTCCAACAAGTATTTAGCTAGTTAGCTCTAAAGAACAACATAGCAACCATAGACAACTGCTCAATCTAGTGATCTGAAAATAGAAACTTTGAGAACAAAATCATTTCTATCCACCAGCTCAAAGATGCAAACATCTCCTGGTTTTAGTGTGTTTTCCCTTCTAAATACGCGCCAACCGCCTGAGAAGTTACATACGCTTTTTCTGCTTCTAATCACTTTCACAGGCCACGATTGATCTGAAACGAGAAGTATAACACTTTCTCTATCCTTTTCCATGTAGCTCTTCAGGAATCTTGATGGTATATTCTGCAAACATTAAAGTTTGTGTATTATCATTGTGAATGATGGTTATAGATAATCATGTTAACAAATTATGACCACGATATCAAAAGTTTCTCCTAATTATTTGTATTAGGGCATATTACCATTTGTTGAAGTCATCAAACTAGGCTCCATACAGTTGCAGATATTTTACCAATTCAATATGGTAGTTTTTAATGATATTATGCTAATCAATATAATGCCAGTCACTAACATATTAGTCTAATGTCGTAAAAGTTTACAGACGTACTTATCAAAACAGTGCAAAATCTGACTAATAAACATGTGCAGTAATGCCAAAGAAAAACCCTCATCCATAGAAGATTTTTCCATGGGAAACAAATAATTATTGTGTTGCATAATTTACCATAGGAAAGGAAATCCATCCAAACATCCCAAAAGTGTGACAGAATATGTGTTTGTTAAGTTGCAGCTCTATGAAAATGCTGGGTTCAATGACCTTACCATAACCCCACCAGTAATATAAGCAGGCTTCATAGCAATTTTGAAGAACGGAAATTTTGACACGAATTTGCTGGCTACTTCAAGAGCTTCTTCATCCCCTTGAATTGCCCTTGGAACTATTGGATGTAAGGTTCTCTTAGTAATTCCATCGCTACTTGCTTCACGTACCAGCCTTTTAGATTTCCCTGCATTAATCAGCCACGTGATAAGTAACTGCAATGTTGTTAGGCATGCAGCATCCTTCCAGTGCAATATGAGGAACACATGCTGGTGAAAAGTGAAAACCCAAACCAGACATCTTCTGCCATCTCCAACCAAAAAATTTCATATTCCCATTTCTTACACTATCTCTCTGGGGCACTCCCATTTGAAGTCAAGTATTTTCTAATTTTAAATTAAATGAGGCATCAAGATATATGTGACATTGTGAGTGGAAATTTAAGGCAGGGACTAAAAGGTCCTCCAACAAGGAGGGATTGAGCTAACATTAGATATAAAACTTCAGAATTTTTTGTTTTCAATTCATCAACCAAGATTACTGTTATTTTCACATACATTACCAACACAACAGCTCACCAGAAACTAAGGTAGGCAGGAAAAGATACAAAAAATTCCAAAGGTTAGTTATTCTTCAATTAGTTTCATTTAGTCTTTTTTTCCGTTGTATATGTTAAATGTAGAGTTACAGGTTCCAATGAAATTAATCACATAAATCACAAAGAATTGCTTCAATTTCATTTAGTCTTTTTTTCTGTTGTATATGTTAAATGTAGAGTTACAGGTTCCAATGAAATTAATCACGTAAATCACAAAGAATTGCTTCAAAGGCCATTGAACAACACAGGGCATTTGATGCATCATAATTTATTGCACTAACAAATCCACATTTTATTTCATCCGTCCATGCAGCAACACCTCGATGAAATAAAATGTGGATTTGTTGGTGCAAGAAATTCTGATGATCAAATGCCTGTGTTGTTCAATGGCCTTTGAAGCAATTCTTTGTGATTTACGTGACTAATTTCATTGGAATCTGTAACTGTACATTTAACATGTACCATGGAAAAAAAAAAAGAGACTAAGGCCATGTTTGTTTGGGTAGACATGAGCTTGGGATTGGACTAATAGTCCAATAAAATTATTAATCCGATGTTTGGTTAAGCAATTGAAGTACGGATTAATTATTTTAAACTTGACTAATGGCCTTTGAAGCAATTCTTTGTGATTTACGTGACTAATTTCATTGGAATCTGTAACTGTACATTTAACATGTACCATGGAAAAAAAAAGAGACTAAATGTACAGAATGAAGCTAATTAAAGAGTAACCAACCTAGGGAAATTTTGCATCTTTTCCTGCCTATCTCTGAATACTTCCATTTGCAATTATGAATGGGCACAAAACAAGTGTGCTCTTCTTCTGACTCTTCTTTAATCTTAACAGGTACGGCAATCTTATCAGCATTAGAAGCTTCTTCATTCATGCATTTGTTTGCAAAAGCTTCTTCCTTCAAGCATCCATTCTTCCCAAATACTTTAGCATCAAATAACGAATTTCCTTTGTATGTAAACAGCACAAAATCCCCAAACACTAAAGAATGATCATTTGCAAATCTCTGCCATCCATTCTTGAAATATATTCCATTTTCAGCTTCTTCCATCTCTACATGCCAAATTTTTCCACCAAGATCTTTAAGTATGGCATTGTTGCGTATGGTTCCATTGAAATGCTTGACAAAATCCGGCGGTACACGCTGCAAAATGGAATATTATCTCTATTCAAAACATAAATAACTTTAGACTCTACAATAAATAAATCTATATAATATGGCAGGAAGGGTTTTGAAAATGTCTCAAAATGTATTACAAATACATTTTGAATCAAGGGTTCAAATTATTTCATCTAACAATTTAAGGGTCAAGATGATTTCTTTACTTTTGCTTTTCCCCCAAAATATATCTCCCTTTCTCTCCCTTTTTGAGTCTTTTCACCTATCCACCCACCCATCCTTCCTATTTTTTTGAGTCTTTTCCCAAATTTCAAGTGTAGTGCACTACTTTCTCCAATGCAATTGGCTTCTTCAGGAATGAGTCTTTGGTTTGTTTTTTAAATTTTGTTATTTTATTTTATTTTTGTGTGTATAAAATGATATTAGACTTTTAAAAGTATCTTTTGGGACAAAGTTTGACTGCAGCTTAAAAATAAAATAAAAAAAATAATAAAAAATTCTCAGAGTTTGACCATGGTAATAAAATAAATCTTGTGGTTTTAATTTTTTTAATTTAAACCCTTATTTTTTTAATCTAAATTATTTTTCTATTTTTATTAAATAAAACCGACATAAAAAGTGTATTTTAGCCATTAAACTTTAATGTAGGTATACATAAAATGTTTAAAATATATTTTTTTGTTGAGTTTAATGGCTAAAATACCATTTTTTTCGTTAGTTTTACTTAATATAAATTGATAAACAGTTTAGATTGAAAACAAATCAAAATATTATGATTTAAATTGACAAAATTAAAAGCTAAGGGCTTATTTTGTTATAACGGTCAAATCCTAGGAGTTTTTTTTTTTTTAATAATTTCCCCAAAATCCTTTAACCAAATTATTATTGATTTTCTTATTGGTTGTATTTAAAAAAACTAGGCTACAAATTGTTAAAAATTAAATAATGTTCAAAAATTACAATTTTAGTACACATTTTACATATTCTTACACACTTTTATATATTTATATACATGTTTACATTTTTAATATAATTTATATATAGATATATATATATATATATATATATTTTAAATATGTATTAAAAATTTAAAATTTTCTAACAGCATAATATTTTTTAATAACTAATAAGAAAATCAGTATTATTTTGGTCAAAGGTTTTTTCTTTAAATAAATGAATCCAATAAGAAAATTAATGAAACACTTTGAGGAATATTTTTAAAAGTCAATCCATTCAACAACAATGAGCCAAAAAGAAAAAATAAAAATAAAACAAAACAAAGAAACAAAGCAATACCGTACCTTGTGCAGCAGTTGCTACTGTGCTTTATGCACCGCAGCATCTTCACATCTAACATCATTATCTAAAACTTTACACTCACCCACCTTCCCTCTTTCTCTCTCATGTCTCACCTCATTCTCTCTCTACACTCTCTTATCTCTCTTTCTCTCAACCTCACTTTCCACATTTTAAATTTCAAAACACACATTCACTCCCTCTCTCCCTCCATGCTCTTCTCACTTTCTCTTTAAACTCTCCTATCTCTCTTAAGGCTCTCAATCTCACTTCTCAATTTCCAACATCACTAAACACTCTCTCTTTTGCTTTCAACCTCACTTCCCTAGGCCCAAACCCAACAACCCGGCGGCGTCAACGAACAAGCCTTCATTGTCATGACTACATCCGAGAGCAACGTTGGGGACTCCTGTCCTCCGAAATGTCAACATTTTCGGTTGAGAAATCGCCCACCGTGAAAGAATCGTCGCTGTACAATACCTAGTAGAGACACATCTGACGGTTGTTGCAGCTCGACGAGTCAATTTGGTCATATCGAAGATTGGGCCGGTCTGAGTGTAGCATTTTTGGCACAGGGAACACTGGATTCAAACGAACGGTCGCCATATGATACCTGTTGAAGTCACGGTCGGTGGTAGTGTTGCCGTAGATAGCCGCAGATAAGGTTTTGGCCCTACTGTGTCAGGTTGGAGGCGGCGTGGAAGAGGCGTTCTAGGGTGGCAGTGAGGGTGGTTTCAGAGAGGGTTGTTGTCGGTGAGGGTGGTGTAACTGTACGAATATGGTGATTTCAAATTCTAATCGACAGCGAGAGTTTTTGAATCTTAGGTTGTTGTCCATGAGAGAGATTGTGGCTTTGGAAGAAATTGTAGGAGGAGGGTTTGGAATTTGAGGGGCTGGGAGAGAGAGGTAGAGAGAGAAAGGAAGAGGAGTGAGAAACCAAACATTATTTTAATTTTATTTTTTTCTATAACCCGGCATGCCCTAGATTTATGGGTTTATGTGTTTTATACTCTTAAAAGTGAAGAGCATGCCCTAGATGTATGGGTTTTTGTAGTTAGTTTACGAAAGGTTAAAAAAAAAAATTAAAAAAGTAAGGAAGAGGGATTTGGAGGCAAAGGGCATTTGAAATTGGTTGCTTTTTTTTTTTTTTTTTTGGATTTGCTTTGTGTGCTGGCTGGTGTTGCTAAGTTTGATTATAGTCATGTTAAAAAATATTTGTGGAAATTTTTTTTAGTATACAAAGTTGAATTCAAAATTTAAATAAATAAAAAAATTGAAGTTGTTAGGTTATTAAGAGACGAAACATCATTAGAAATATTTTTGTTTAATGATGAGATCAAAATATAATTGGAAGATGTTATTTTGGAAAATATTTTTTTCTTTGGTGAACAAATTTGAATTCAAAATTTAAATTGGGTTCTATTAACCAAAAAAAAATGGTTTAGTTTTACTATTAAAATGTAATTTTTTCACAAGGAGAGATAAAGGAAATGGTGTGATTTGTTTAAAGACTGACAAAGCCCACTTCAGCGACAAAGATAACGGGCTTGTTTGGTTTGTGTTTGTAGAGTAGTTTTTGAGATAAAAAGTACGAAAACTTGTTTGGTTTGCTTTTTTTCAGAAATGGTTTTGGAAAATTGTTTTGGGGAGAGAGTTTTAAAAAAAGTGATTAATTTGATGTGTATGAGAGAGAGTGATTTTGGAAAATAGATAACCAAGCAAAATTTTGAGATTTTTTTTTGAAAAAATTTGTTTGGTTTGATTACTCTTGAAAATTTGTTTGTAGAGAATTTTTTTCAAAATTTTTTCCCAAAATCAAACCAAACAACCACATGTTTTTATTTCCAGATAACTAATTGGACCTATATTTATATTTTCACATCAAATTTTTAGCAACAAATTTGATCAGTTACATTTTAACTTAATAATTTTATACTCAATTAAATTTTAATCTCATTATTAATTATACTGTGTCTTTCGGCAGGGACATACACTAGTAAATAAATAAATCAAAGCACTAGAGTACTCTCTAGCTGTATACTTTACCATTCTAATTAGAGAAATGATTGAGACTCCACCCCTACAAGACCTCACACATCTTAACCACTTATGATGTAGACCCACACATACATAAGTGGCCCCACACATACACGGAGGCTCAGGATCACTTTCGGGTGTGAGCGTCTTCTCCAAAGGGATTCCAAACATTTTCCTTCTAATTAATGTCACCCTTCTAAATCTGATAATAAACTTTAATGAAAAAGCAAGAGGAACAAATAGGGACCTCTTTTCTTGCAACTAAAGCATAGTGGCCAAATTGATTGCTGAGGAACTTCAGAAAAATAACAGAAATGAAAATTTAAAATTTGGGATTAATGCAAACAACAACATTCCACTCAATTTAGTCCAGAAAATTTTAAATTATAAACTTCATTTATTTTCTTTGAGCCAATTTTCTCAACAACCAAACCAAGAAAACTATTAATGAAATGGAAAGTTGAAATTATGAATAAATAAATGCAACAATGAGAGAGAGAGAGAGAGAATACCAGACGTTGAGAGTTCTGATCAGGCAGATATACTTTAAAGAACTCCTCAAAGTAAGAGGCCTTTCGATCACTATCACGTTCCGCCATTTTTTCACTTCTAAATAGCACAAACCCTAATGAGCAGAGAAAAAGGATACGGAGCTTCAAAGAGCTTTAACCAACTTCAATCAATGGGAGCATTGCGATTTCGAAGTTACCTCAAGGCGCCGGACAGATTTCCGGCCGGTGAGAGTTGGTGGACAGCTGGCAAAACGGCAGAGAGAGAAGAACAGAGTGCCGATTGATTGTTTTTGTGTGTCTACGAAAAATACAGAAAAAAGGTAAATTATAAACACACAACATTTTCTTAAATTATAAATTATTTATATTATATTATGACCTTTAAAATTTATAATTTTATAATAAATAGATCCTTTTATTAATAAATTATTATGTTAATTAATAATTTTTAATAATGTTAAAATTTTATTTTAATTAATAATTCAAATAATTTTATTATTGTATAAGTAAATAATTAAAAATTTTATTTTTTTAATTAATTCTATTAAATAAAAAATTTTGATAGAGAAATATTTATACTTTTTTAAATTATAAAAAATAATTTATATTTTAAATAAATTTAAAAGGTGTATGTAAAAAAAATAAGAGATGTCAGATCTGTGAATGAGATCACCACTTCACATGAAAAATGATTTAGACCTCTAAAAAGTGAGTTTTAATGGAGCATTAATTTGTCATTTTCTTCTTCATTTTTTGTCTTTTACTTCACTATTTTTTTTTTTTTTATAAGTTGCCAGCTCATTAGAGTTGCACTGTAGCAGCTCTAATTAGAGCTCTCCAGCAGCACTCTACATGCATTCGCAGTGGTTGCGTGTTCGAGTTCTATGCAGTACTACCACTCACCCAAAAAATAAAAAATAAAAAATAAAAATTCACTTTCTCAAAAGTTTTGTATTTGGTACTGGCCTTTTTTGGGAAGTGAGTTATAATTCACTTTTCGGATTATAGCTCACTTCCTTTCTCACAAAAAAAAGTTGTTTATAAGTTGTTTATAAGTAATTTTTTATAAAAAAACTGATTATAATCATTTTTTCAAAATAGCTCACAATCTTCCCATTAATCATAAATATATATATTTTTAATATTTTTAAATATTTAATATTATAATTCATATTTTATTACTTTTTACTAATCATAATAATAAAAAAATATCATATTAATATAACTTATGCAAAAATAGCTGACACTTTCTATTTATTCAAGGCCAATTGGAAAAGTGGTCAAAATCTGGATTCAAATCGTAATTTCAACGATTCGGATCGTATTTACCTTAAAAATAATTTTTTATTTTTGTGTATTTGTTTTTTGTCGAAAAAATTTAATATATTAAAAAATATATATCTTTTAAATATATCTAATCTAATCTATATATATTTTAAAAAGATAATATTTATGAAACAATTTTTAAAAAAATTCATCAAATACAAAAAAATATAAAAAATTTAATATATTTTCGTGTTCTTATGTATTAATTGAATTTTTGTAATTTTTTTATAAATATTTTATTTTTAAATGCATCTAAGTTATGTCCAATTAAAAAAATAAAAAATTACTTAAAATATTTAGGGTAAATTACACTTACACCCACTAAGATTTGGATTTAATCAATATCATCCCCTGACATTTGAAAAATTACACTAACGCCCATGTCATTGTAATTATTTAGACGGAATGAAGACATTGAACTTATGCACTCTTCTTTTTTTTGCTTTGCTTTATTTTCTTTTTTTTTTCCTAATTTCCTTTACTTTTTTTTTAATGTAATTTCTTCTGTTTTCTACTAAGAGTTGTTACCTTTTATATAAGCAAGGGATTTGAAAATAAGACTATTAGCCACATGGATGGTTTATCATTTCCGGACAAAACATTGACACATATCATTATGATAGGCACCTCCACATGTTTGCTATGTGTATGCTGCACAAGAAATAGGTTAACCATAGTCATATTGAGCCTAATTTATTGGCAGCTGGGGTTATGGCCGGCATTTTAGACCTTGAGGTCACAAAAAGTGTATAGGTGTGAATTTTCAAGAAAACATTGACACATAGCATTGATCCATTAGTGAAAATATTAAAGTGAGTCAACATTTCGGTTGAGAAATCGCCCACCGTGAAAGAATCGTCGCTGCACAATACCTAGTAGAGACACATCTGACGGTTGTTGCAGCTCAGCGAGTCAATTTGGTCATATCGAAGATTAGGTCGGTCTGAGTGCAGCATTTTCGGCACGGGGAACACTGGATTCAAATGAACGGTCGCCATATGATACCTGTTGAAGTCACGGTCGGTGGTAGTGTTGCCGTAGATAGCCGCAGATAAGGTTTTGGCCCTACTGTGTCAGGTTGGAGGTGGCGTGGAAGAGGCGTTCTAGGGTGGCAGTGAGGGTGGTTTCAGAGAGGGTTGTTGTCGGTGAGGGTGGTGTAACTGTACGAATATGGTGATTTCAAATTCTAATCGACAGTGAGAGTTTTTGAATCCTAGGTTGTTGTCCATGAGAGAGATTGTGGCTTTGGAAGAAATTGTAGGAGGAGGGTTTGGAATTTGAGGGGCTGGGAGAGAGAGGTAGAGAGAGAAAGGTAGAGGAGTGAGAAACCAAACATTATTTTAATTTTATTTTTTTTCTATAACCCTGGATTTATGGGTTTATGTGTTTTATACTCTTAAAAGTGAAGAACATGCCCTAGATGTATGGGTTTTTGTAGTTAGTTTACGAAAGGTTAAAAAAAAAAAATTAAAAAAGTAAGGAAGAGGGGTTTGGAGGCAAAGGGCATTTGAAATTGGTCGCTTTTTTTTTTTTTTTTTTGGATTTGCTTTGTGTGTTGACTGGTGTTGCTGAGTTTGATTATAGTCATGTTAAAAAATGTTTGTGGAAATTTTTTTTAGTATACAAAGTTGAATTCAAAATTTAAATAAATAAAAAAATTGAAGTTGTTTGGTTATTAAGAGACGAAACATCATTAGAAATATTTTTGTTTAATGATGAGATCAAAATATAATTGGAAGATGTTATTTTGGAAAATGTTTTTTTCTTTGGTGAACAAATTTGAATTCAAAATTTAAATTGGGTTCTATTAACAAAAAAAAAAAATGGTTTAGTTTTACTATTAAAATGTAATTTTTTCACAAGGAGAGATAAGAGAGATAAAGGAAATGGTGTGATTTGTTTAAAGACTGACAAAGCCCACTTCAGTGACAAAGATAACGGGCTTGTTTGGTTTGTGTTTGTAGAGTGGTTTTTGAGATAAAAAGTACGAAAACTTATTTGGTTTGTTTTTTTTCAAAAATAGTTTTGGAAAATTGTTTTGGGGAGAGAGTTTTAAAAAAAGTGATTGATTTGATGTGTATGAGAGAGAGAGTGATTTTGGAAAGTAGATAACCAAGCAAGATTTTGAGATTTTTTTTGAAAAAATTTGTTTGGTTTGATTACTCTTGAAAATTTGTTTGTAGAGAATTTTTTTCAAAATTTTTTCCCAAAATCAAACCAAACAACCACATGTTTTTATTTTCAGATAACTAATTAGACCTGTATTTATATTTTCACATCAAATTTTTAGCAACAAATTTGATCAGTTACATTTTAACTTAATAATTTTATACTCAATTAAATTTTAATCTCATTATTAATTATACTGTGTCTTTCAGCACGGACATACACTAGTAAATAAATAAATCAAAGCACTAGAGTACTCTCTAGCTGTATACTTTACCATTCTAATTAGAGAAATGATTGAGACTCCACCCGACCTCACACATCTTAACCACTTATGATCTAGACTTACACATACATGAGTGGCGCCACACATACACTGAGGCTCAGGATCACTTCCGGGTGTGAGCGTCTTCTCCAAAGCGACCCCAAACATTTTCCTTCTAATTAATGTCACCCTTCTAAATCTGATAATAAACTTTAATGAAAAAGAAAGAGGAACAAATAGGGACCTCTTTTCTCGCAACTAAAGCATAGTGGCCAAATTGATTGCTGAGGAACTTCAGAAAAATAACAGAAATGAAAATTTAAAATTTGGGATTAATGCAAACAACAACATTCCACTCAATTTAGTCCAGAAAATTTTAAATTATAAACTTCATTTATTTTCTTTGAGCCAATTTTCTCAACAACTAAACCAAGAAAACTATTGATGAAATGGAAAGTTGAAATTATGAATAAATAAATGCAACAATGAGAGAGAGAGAGAGAGAGAGAGAGAGAGAGAATACCAGACGTTGAGAGTTCTGATCAGGCAGATATACTTTAAAGAACTCGTCAAAGTAAGAGGCCTTTCGATCACTATCACGTTCCGCCATTTTTTCACTTCTAAATAGCACAAACCCTAATGAGCAGAGAAAAAGGATACGGAGCTTCAAAGACGCTTTAACCAACTTCAATCAATGGGAGCATTGCGATTTCGAAGTTACCTCAAGGCGCCGGAGAGATTTCCGGCCGGTGAGAGTAGGTGGACAGCTGGCAAAACGGCAGAGAGAGAAGAAAGAGTGCCGATTGATTGTTTTTGTGTGTCTACGAAAAATACAGAAAAAAGGGAAATTATAAACACACATTTTCTTAAATTATAAATTATTTATATTATATTATGACCTTTAAAATTTATAATTTTATAATAAATAGATCCTTTTATTAATAAATTATTATGTTAATTAATAATTTTTAATAATGTTAAAATTTTATTTTAATTAATAATTCAAATAATTTTATTATTGTATAAGTAAATAATTAAAAATTTTATTTTTTTAATTAATTCTATTAAATAAAAAATTTTGATAGAGAAATATTTATACTTTTTTAAATTATAAAAAATAATTTATATTTTAAATAAATTTAAAAGGTGTATGTAAAAAAAATAAGAGATGTCAGATCTGTGAATGAGATCACCACTTCACATGAAAAATGATTTAGACCTCTAAAAAGTGAGTTTTAATGGAGCATTAATTTGTCATTTTCTTCTTCATTTTTTGTCTTTTACTTCACTATTTTTTTTTTTTTTTTTAAGTTGCCATCTTCATTAGAGTTGCACTGTAGCAGCTCTAATTAGAGCTCTCCAGCAGCACTCTACATGCATTCGCAGTGGTTGCGTGTTCGAGTTCTATGCAGTACTACCACTCACCCAAAAAATAAAAAATAAAAAATAAAAATTCACTTTCTCAAAAGTTTTGTATTTGGTACTGGCCTTTTTTGGGAAGTGAGTTATAATTCACTTTTCGGATTATAGCTCACTTCCTTTCTCACAAAAAAGTTGTTTATAAGTTGTTTATAAGTAATTTTTTATAAAAAAACTGATTATAATCATTTTTTCAAAATAGCTCACAATCTTCCCATTAATCATAAATATATATATTTTTAATATTTTTAAATATTTAATATTATAATTCATATTTTATTACTTTTTACTAATCATAATAATAAAAATATATCATATTAATATAACTTATGCAAAAATAGCTGACACTTTCTATTTATTCAAGGCCAATTGGAAAAGTGGTCAAAATCTGGATTCAAATCGTAATTTCAACGATTCGGATCGTATTTACCTTAAAAATAATTTTTTATTTTTGTGTATTTGTTTTTTGTCGAAAAAATTTAATATATTAAAAAATATATATCTTTTAAATATATCTAATCTAATCTATATATATTTTAAAAAGATAATATTTATGAAACAATTTTTAAAAAAATTCATCAAATACAAAAAAATATAAAAAATTTAATATATTTTCGTGTTCTTATGTATTAATTGAATTTTTGTAATTTTTTTATAAATATTTTATTTTTAAATGCATCTAAGTTATGTCCAATTAAAAAAATAAAAAATTACTTAAAATATTTAGGGTAAATTACACTTACACCCACTAAGATTTGGATTTAATCAATATCATCCCCTGACATTTGAAAAATTACACTAACGCCCATGTCATTGTAATTATTTAGACGGAATGAAGACATTGAACTTATGCACTCTTCTTTTTTTTGCTTTGCTTTATTTTCTTTTTTTTTTCCTAATTTCCTTTACTTTTTTTTTAATGTAATTTCTTCTGTTTTCTACTAAGAGTTGTTACCTTTTATATAAGCAAGGGATTTGAAAATAAGACTATTAGCCACATGGGTGGGAATGTAATTTGCAAAATGTCAAGGGGTGAGTATTAATTGGACCAAACCTCAAGGGTTGTCAATGTAATTTACCCAAATAGTTAAAAAAATTCACCAAAAATAAAAAAATAAAAAATTATTTAAAAAAAAAAATCAAAACCAAACAAGATGATTAAAATCTAAAATTGTGCAAAACCAAAATAATTCATCCACACAATTTTCTCTCCCCGAATATGATTTTGACTAGTCAGAATCATTTTCTCTCGAAGTATTTATTACTAAATTCAATAAAAAAAATTTAAATTTTAAGATACTTTACAATTTGTTTATACTTTTTCAATATAGTTTTTTGGGTAAATTACAAATACACCTCCTAAGGTTTGCTTAAAATACAGATTAGCCCCTGTGATTTGAAAAATTACAAATGCTCTCTTATTAAAAAATTTTATTTAACAGAATTATATAATAGAATATAATTTTCAAAAATTTTATTTAACATAATTAAGAATCAACTTTTTGGCCCATTAATGTACTGACGTCAGGCCAGCTTTAATGAAAGGAAAAAAAAAAACTGCATGTGTACATTCACTAAGTTGGATGGTAAAGTTGGGCCCGTGGAGACCCACCATGGGTCCCGTTTTGATAATCCAAACCGTCAAGATGTAGAATTCGTCTAGTACTATATGTCTGTAAAAAATCACGTCTATCAGATATCGCTAACTACATGATCAAATCAGTTTTGTATAAAAATTAGATGGTGTTATAGTTAACAGTTGACAAAAAAACCAACACGATCTAATAGTTATCAATATCCAATCAACGTGATTTTTTACAAGCATATAGTACTCAACGAGTTCTACACATTATCAATTCTGATTAGAAAAAGGGACTCGTGGTGGGCCTCCACGAGCCGAACAACACCGTCCAATCAAAACCCGAAAAGGAGGCAATCTTTTCCCATGTATTCACCAAGCTGCCTGCACTGCCAATCCGTACGGCGTACTGCACTATCTTCTCCTACACACTTCTTTATACAATTTTTTAATACACATTTTTTCATAAAAAATCAAAAAGTCAACCCAAACATCCATATTTTTTTCTCAACTTTTTAGTCAAAAAAATACACTTATTTAGGACACTCCAAACAATCTCTTAATAATATATTTGAGATTCATAACATTGGACGTGGTGTGAACTAGACGAAGTTACCTCACTTCTATCCAAAAAAAATTTCAAATGCAGTGTTTTACTCGAAAACTTCTAAAATTTTTTGAGCAAGACTCAAACACATGCAGGTTGCACCTGTAATACTCTCGAGAATAATTTAAATAAGGATTGTTTAGGATTATTATAAAAAGATTTGTAGAAAAGTAAAAAAATAACATAATTCAAAAAAGATAAAAAAATGCACTTTTGTAATGCACCCAAAAACCCCTAAATCTAATAAATGAACAACAGAGGTAACATGAAGAATAAATCAAACATTTTTTAGACATAAATGTGATTCAAATAATCAATACAAATCCGATGATAAACTCACCCCAAATTGTCAAAATGATAAACCCAGCATGGCAACTTGCAAAATGTAGCCAGCAAATTTCACTAGACAATTCTAAAAGCTGTTTCATCATGTAAATAAATAAATAAATAAAAACTGAACACATTGAAAGAAAGTGTTAAAAAACAAGAAAATATTTCATTAAATAGGAAGGGATACAACAGAACAAAAGTAGCTTGACTACTTCAATACAAAGCTCTTTCCAACAAGTATCTGATTAGCTCTCATCAAACAACATATCAACCACAGAGTCAACAACAGCTCAATCTATGCATCTCTGAAAATTGAAACTTTCATAACAAAATCATTTATCTCAATCAGCTCAAACACACAAACATCTCCTGCTTTTAGTGTGTTTTCCCTGCTAAATACACTTCAACCGGCTGAAAAGATGCCTCTGATTTTTCTTGTATATCTGATCAATTTCACAGGCCACGACTGATCTGAAACAAGAAGTGTAACACTCCGTCTACCCTTTCCCATGTAGCTCTTCACGAAGTTTGTTGGTATATGCTGCAAACATTGAAAGTTTTGTGTATTATCACTGAATGAACATTATAGATGATCATGTCAACAAACTTTGACCACAATATCAAAAGTTTCTCCGTATAGTAGACACTTGACACACATTGCACCCATCAATGTTAGGGAAAATCGATGATCAATCAATAAGAATAAAAACTAATGTGGAAAAATTAAATCAAAAACAATTTTATGTGGTTCCCTCAATGTGAGGTACTTCCACGAAATCGAAATCCGATTCCACTATCAATCAAAAAGTTTCCAAATGATTACAAACGAGACACGAATGGTCTCACAAACCACCCTTAAGTAAATTTCAAATAATCACAAATAAACAAGAGAAAAGACCTCACCAAATAGATGAACAAAAAATCTTTAAATCAGAGTATTAGAAGATCTAAAATAATTAACCCAAATCAACTGAATCAGAGAGAGCAACCAACCAAAGATCCACTAACACAATGTTTAAAAGCACCAATGAAATACTCCAAGCAACACATGGAACAAAGCACAGCCACCGAGTTGGTGTTATAGCAGCCACACAACTAATTTTTGGAAGACAAAAACAATATATATATAATGTTAAACCTCGGACTTGTTTTATCAAAATCTTAATTGTTACCAAATTGAATTAGGCCTCAACAAATTAGATATAATATATAAAAATATATTATAACTAATACCAAATCAAATTAAACTCTTTTAATAAATTAATTGGGTCTCATACTCCACTAAGGAGATATATCCCAACAATTCTCCCCCTATCGACTTAGGTGGAGACATCAACCATACCCGCCAAAGTTCGACACTTTAACTGTTTGTCTCTCGACAAAATCTTTATCAACATATCCGAAATATTATCATCTGTGTGAACCTTTTCGAGTTGCAACAATTTCGAATCTAACATATCACAAATCCAGTGGTACCTTACATCAATATGTTTCGATCTCGAATGAAAAGTAGAATTTTTACTCAAGTGAATAGCACTTTGACTATCACAATAAAACACATACCTTTCTTGCTTCAAACCCAACTCTTGCAAAAATTTGATCAACCATAACTCTTCTTTGCAATCTTCCATAATGACAATAAATTCAGTTTCGGTAGCTTTTTTGTAATTTAGATGGCCATGCCACGGCTCCCCCTGCAAATGTCATCAAATACCTCGAAATAGATTTCCTAGAAACAATATCACCGCCATGTCAGAATCTGTGAACCTATCAAGCATCAGCTTACCATCTCCAAAACACAAACACACTTTCGAAGTCCCTCGAAAATATCTCAGAATCCATTTTACCGCTACCCAATGTTTTTTACCCGAATTAGAGAGAAAACAACTCACTAC